TACCACGGGCCAACAGGAAACAGTATATGAGGCCGGCTGAGCGGTGTGAGACAGTGTGGATGGTGAAGCTGCCGAAGCCAGTTTGCCTTTGAAGAGATGAGTCCAGTGAAGTCCAGCAGCTACGAGTTGAGTTGCATTGAGTGAATGGAAAGGACTACATCAGAAGAAGTAATTGCGATACTGCAGCTTGCAGTAATTGGGAAACTGAATTGTGTAAATGTAAGAGCGAGTGTTCAATAAATTTGCTACATCCAAAATGGCGTGAAGTAATTTGTTATGTTACCAACACCCAACATGTGACAATATTATCACCCTGTAGATTCACATCATCCACATAGACTAACAGTTGTGTTCTATTTAATTTCAGTCCCACCTGGTCTAATGGTATGTTCTAAATCAAAGCTGAAAAGCAGTGGTGATAAAGTATCTCCTTGTTTTAGACCATCCTGGATAGGAAAACTGTCAGACAAATGTTTACCTATACAGATTTTACTATACGTTTCATTTAAACACATTTTAATCAGAGTAACACGGGCATTCCAAATTCTATGCGAATACTGTACTAATTGAATCACAGGTTTTCTTGAAGTCTATGAATAGCTGATGTACTGTCTCATTGTGCTCCCATTTTTTCTTCAGTATCTGACGACTGCAAAAGATCTGTCAGTAGCTGACGTGTCACGTCAAAACCCACACTGTTGATCCCACATAATTTCATCTATGTATGGACTTAACCTTGAGAGAAGAATACTGGATAAAAATTGGTATGAAGTTGATAACAGTGATACACCACAATAATTATTACAGCCAGTTTTAGCGCCCTTCTTGTGAACTGGTACAATAACAGACTCCTGCCACTGATCAGGCAATTTTTCCTTATTCCAAATAGAATTAATTAGCTTAAGGATCTTAGAACGTAATATTTCACCACCTGCTTGAATCATTTCTGCTGGAATTTGATACTAACTGGCAATTTATACCTGTTAAACTTTGCAATAGTAATTTCAACCTGAAAAGGGCCAGAAGCAGGTACTAATGGCTCAGCTGTATGTTATTCCTATCTGCCTAACATCACTGACCCTATGTACATTCAATAGCTGAGACAAATAGTTATTCCCTTTGTACAGGTCTCCAATGTTCTTGTTCTCACTGTTCGTTGCAAGCTCATCAAGTTTGTCTTTCAGTTATTCCTTCTTTTTATTCTGAAATTCCAGCTGGTTTCATGTCTTATACTGTTAAGAATATGCCCATTTATTATTACACAAATTTAAAAGAGCTCAAAACTGAGACATTATGAGAAAAACTTCACACACATACAGAAATAATTTGTTTCAAAACTTCCAAAGAACATAAGTCTAAAGACTCCCACAACGAATCCTGATGTGGCAATCACTTGGATACCCACTTAAGAGCCTAAAGGACCCGGGATAGATTAGTCAGTAGAGCAACATGCTACAGGCTCAAAGACACAGGGATCTTCTCCTATACACATCATCCAGACTGGCTGTGAGGCCCATCTAGCCTCCTATTGAATGGGTACTGGGGGCTCTTTCCTTGGGGGTAAAGCTACAGGGTCATGAATCTGACCACTCATCTCCAGCTAGTGCAGAAGTAAAAAAATGTGGATCTATACATCCACTCCTCAAGCCTTCACGGTGTAGTGCTTAATTAGTTACGCACAGGGACAACTTTACCTTTTTACCTTTACTTAAAAGCGCATTGAACATAAAAAACTCTTGATAGCACAGGCCATCCTTAAAGTGACTTCTCTGTTAAAATAAATTAATGCCACAAACATAATGAGAAAACACAGTCTTTTTATACAGCATGAAAGCATTTATGTGAAAGAATGGCTTTCAGTATTTGTTCTTCATGCATTTAGAACAGTAACAGAAAATAACACACCACTAGAAAACACTTCATCCTACAAAACAACTATGATAAGGTGAAAGTAAATTCTGTTATTATACTGCAGTCTACAAATACATAGAGGTGGGGGATTGCAATATTTTAACAACAGGGTTCTTTGTTAACACAGTAATAGTCTAAAATAATAAGTAAATTGTTGCAAGTGTCTATCAGGCTCTACTGACATCATGAACCTAATTGCTTATATCTTCTCTACGACTACAGTAAGCTATTTACAAAATGTTCCTGTAAAGTCATGAACAGGAGCTGGGATGGTTGTCAGTACTGCTATGGGCCAAAAGCTGGATAGCTGAGGAAATGAGGTTCAATTCCTGGCAGGAGTAAAATATTTTTCTCTTCTCCACAGCATCCAGAATGTCTCTGGGGCCCACCCAGCCTCCAATCCAATGGGTACCACAAGTTCTTTTTCTGGGGATAAAGTGATAGGGGCATGAAAGTGCCCACATCCATCTAATGCCAAAGTTAAGAATGGTGGAGCTACAGCTCCACTCCCTCATATGTGTTCATGGCATTACCTTTTACTACAGAGTCATGAAGAAATTGTCAAAATGTTTTGCCAACTGCAGCAACATTTTCCAGAAGCACCTTACATCTTACTGCCTTGCCAACACTATGAATGTATACAACTACATCTTATATGGCGACCCCCCCCCCCAATATAATAGGTAGCGAACTAGTTTGAAAACCCGTTCTTTAATACAAGGCCAAAGTACGTGCAATGTCACACTCTCTTCGAAGTTCGTTACACTCTTCAGACTTCTGCAGACCATGTAATACATGCGTTCGTTTGCAGTTTTTGTTACGGTTCTGAAACTGGCCGAGCTGGAAGTAGCTTTTGTACATTCCCATAAAATTCACTTACTTATGCGATAACTTTTTTATGGAAAATATTCGCTGTATATATTTTTTTTACTGAAACGTTTGAAATCCTATTTAAACTCAAATGAGTAACTTCCCGCGCTTTCCTACGCCTCAACCGGCAGCATAAACACATTTTATACTCTCCTCTATTCCATTACACTTATACAGAGCAATCAACTAGCTTCACAATGCAACATAATCTACACTCGATCTACTCATACAGACTCACTGTACATAAATGTACCAAGACAAACTTTACTGGAATACTGCTGACAACTGACGTCACTCCTGAAATATGTGAAACTGACAAGTCTTGCTGACAACGCCCTGATATTTTGTGTTTTCCTGTGTTTAATTACCAACCGTACAGCTACTTGCTTCGCACTTCCTAGCCATTAGAGTGATGAAGTCTGAAATAAATCTAGAATAAGCCTGTGTGTGCAGACGGAATATAAAGAACAAACATCCCACAATCCTGTTCACGCGACTTGCCGTACAGACAGGTAGCAGACGCCATGAGGATGTACTAGCAGCCGACACTAAACATACTGGTCTCACTATTAGTAGGTAAACATTTTCTTGCTTACAGTTTATTAAAATCATGTATAACTTGATTCGACTAACTATGCAGTATTGCTTTATTTCTACTTACCATTTGTTATAGTGCCGTACTTATATCTTTGATAGTCTAACAATCTTGTATTCATTGTTCCCCTCCATGTTACCAACGCCATATTCTACTTCGCGCAGTTCGAGTTTGTACACTTGACCACAAAGTAACCAAAGCGAAACAGACGTCCATTTTATGTCCTGAATGATAGTTTTGTGAAATTGCGTGCTTGAGAAACGTATGCGGGATTGAAAAGAAATGCGACAGCACTTTTGTCGTCACCGGTCGTCAGTGTCCTGTTTGTCCCTGAACAAGCTAGTACGCACGATTAACTATCACAAAGTCTTGTGTTGAAGCGATATACGTTTAATAAGTTCCAGTGCAGTATCAAACACCAGGATTGAAAAATTAACAACAGTGTCCTGTTGCAATGAATACTTATTTTCAGTTAGATAGGCCCAGGGCACACCAAGGAAGCTGGCAACCGCAACGCAACTGCAATATCTGAGAAATGTCGCCGATTTCAAGCAGGCAACTGGTTTCCAGATTACCAAGCGCACACTGAAGAAATTTGTGTTTGATTAGTTGCTCACATCATCTTAAGTAGGTATGCTCCTCCGACATAATGCATGACTATTTTTTAAAATTTTTGCACTTACCTTCTGCAATGGAAAATAATAATACTGATCCTGTCATGATATGGTGATAGCTGAGATCGATTGAGACGGCGTGAGAAGAGAGGACTACGATGTTAATTAATTTGTTTTAATTAAGGTCATTTTATTTTAATCAGTAATTGATGTTTATTTACCTTGTAGAGATGAGTATTTTTTTTAAAGAAATTCAGAATATTTACTCTAAACGTAATTTTGAATTAAAGTTCAACGTTTAATTTAATTAAATCTAGGCATAACCAGAAGACAGGTTGCCTTTCGTCTCTGTGATGGAATTGTGTTACGTCTCAATATTATGTCGATGCCAAAAGAAAAAAGTCAACATGGCTTTCACGTTCTACCTGACCAGCCATGCCTTTTTCGGTCTCGGCGAATTTTTTTCCAACCTAGTGTGAAGACTGCATTTTCTTTTCCACGTAATATCCATAAATCCCTGTTTCATCGCCGGTTATAATTCTTTTCAGAAAGTTTTCATCCTCGCTAGCGCGATCCAAAAGTTCCTGACAGATGGCAACGCGACTGTTTCTCTGATCCTGTGTCAGAAGTTGTGGGAACATTAAGGAAAATAACTTCCACGGTGCTTTTGTTGTGTGAAAAAAGAATTATGCGGTCGTTGTATACGCTTCCAAGGAGGCAATTCTGGAGATGGCAGCTGAAATTTATTTTTTGGACTAGTCCAGAAATTTTGCCCAACTCAGTTCAAATGCCACAAACAGATCCGTTACTACCTGCACTGCAAAAGCTTCACTTCACATCCACTACTTTATTATCAGTTCTTTCTTTTCTTTATTATGTCCATTCAAGATCCTGCAATGTCTCCAAACTGCTTGCTGTTTATACATATACTGCAAAGCTGCCTTTGTACTTAAATCACCATGAAGGCATATGGGGGAGTGGAAACTAGCTCCACACATTCTTAACCTTGGCGCTAAAGGAAGCAAGTGGTCAGCTTTATATCTTGGTTCCTTTAACTTCCTGGAAAAGGGCCCCTTATACTTATTGGATATGTGGCAAGCTGTTGTCTACACACAACCTAGTTGTAGTGAAAAGAAAAATTCCTGCCCCTGACAGGAATAAAACTCTCAGTTGTTCACTTGTACACTGCCTGAATTATTCAGGCTCCTGCCATCTGTAACTGAATTTTAATACAAATCTTACCATCATTAGGTGAAGGAGTGTTGAATATTTATTCTGATATTCATGAAATTCCTTAGTTTAAAGTGCCCAGTGGTGCCTTACTGTCACTTGACACCAACCCAGTAGAGTGCAATACACAAACCATTTTTCTTCTAATGTGTATAAATGGAATGCACAGTGGGTGACCAAGTATGTTCCCCAATCTACCTGTCCATTTGCATGGACTGTCTCCTAAACTACATGTAGGATTTCAAAGAATTTAGAATGGGGGAGTTCATAACAAAAGTTGTGAGGCAAATTAACGTTCACTGGTAAATTTCAGCCTGTTTTACATGAAGTGCATATCTAATTTTAACCAACATTTTTAAAATGTATAACAGAAGTTCTGGGAATAACTAACTGCCTACATACCGAGTATATGATCCAGCATGGACCACATAGAAAACACAATATTCAAGAGTTCTTCTGTTGCTGTGTATTCATTGCCATGGGAACATGTTTACCAAGCTGTTGCCCAGCAACAGCAGTCTCTTCCAGCTTTCAGGCATCAGTGGGGGGACACAGAGACAGCAAGTTAATCTCAAAAGACTCCTTTTTACTTTTCAAAACAATGTGGGCTAAAAATTAATTTCAATACAAATTACAACTTTTACTTAAAACATTTTTAGTACAAATTTCATGCCGTGGGGCAGTGTTGTATCTCTGTGGAATTGGCTTTGTGAAAACAGATTATCTTAAATAAATTAGTATAAGTTCAATGAGGTATGCAAAATACTGAGGAATGCTTAAAATATATGTAACCTGTTGGCATACACTCTTGTACATTATCCATCCATTCAAATACTAGTCTCCCATGTGACTTTCCTTTTATGAGATTTCTTGAAATTTGTTAGAACTTATTTGTTTACAGTTTATGCAATTATGTCAGTTGCTCAAGCTATATAGCATCAAATATTAGGATGATGAATAACTGGAAAACATGTATGGAAGAAAGCACTGCACCTGTGGCCTCATTTAAGTATTACTGTGGCATCTGCTTGGAGGGACTGTGGTAGTAAGCACTCTTGCCAAGGCTTGAACCAGGTACCTCATGAATACAAGTAGGAAATATTATCACTTGAAAATACTTGCTCAGTAGTTCTGTAAGTTTTACATTTTCCTTCTTACTACATAATGTAACAAGCCCTGTTCATCAAAGCCTTAATTACCCTATTAATACTTAGGTAAACAGGTGTCCCTCATTAATAAATGTTCTTCATTTTGCAGTCAAAAGATTATATTTTTATTTATTTGGGCTCTTCTTCCCTTAAAATTACATGCATTTATATGACTATGTATACTTCAACAAGGTTCATGTCAAGAGAAACATGTCTTATGAAGATCATGACCATATAAATAACAACATAAACTCAGTTTATATACTATAAATAAAGACTGCATTTTCGATACTCATACCCATGAAGTTCTTCAATCTCAGGTGGCTGTACATCTACAAGTTTCACTTTCATTTATATTTATTTAGTAAGTTGATAAAGATGGGTATGTTCCCTGTGTTGGGAAATTTTAAGGATTAGGATTTGTGGAAAGCAGACACCATATAAACATCCACTGAAATCAGTCTCAATACTTCACTTAAAACATGTTAAAACTGAGGTTGGCACCTTAAATGCAAGACATAAATACTATAAAACAGCTGCCACAAATAATAACCTATTTCACAAACTCAGTTCTCTTCTTTTTGGTTCTTCATTTTAAACACAATTTTCACAATCCAAAAAATGTTCAATATTATGCAGTCTCATAATTTTACTCTTATTAAGGGCACCAAAATGAACCTCACAAGAAGTCAGCAATGAAATGTTAACAAACACCAGTCAGGAGGATAACATTTTTACTTTATGTTTGAGAGGTCCCAGTTCCAGAGATTGGATAGCCTAATTGAGGACCTCTGTGACTTTTCTCAGTTCTCCCAAAATGCCAGGACAGTACCATAGAACATCTGACTGCTTTCTTCCAAAGCATTGTTCACATACCACCCTACCAGTAGATGCTACATAACCAATGCAGTTGAAAAAGCATTGTTAAATAAACCAAGAATCCACCAATCAATAGTTAAAACATCAAGAAATTCCACATGCAAGAAAATGTACAAATATAACGATAGAATCCATCTTTAAAAAATTTAGAAAATGCTTTGAATATGTCACTCTTAAGAAATTTCAATCAGGCTGCCTGATCAGTGTGGTATAATATCAACGTTTAGGCAACAGGTGACAATTTTGTGTGCACACCAGTCTTCCAAAATATCTACAATGTATTCTGGCCAAGTAACAGAAGTATTCTGAAAATTGAGCTTATTTTTAAGATGTGAGACGCTGTCTAAACTGCAGCATTCACTCCCACATCCTGACCTGTGATGAAAATTATAATCCAATTCTGAAACTTCCTGTCATTGCTGAGCTTTACTAATATTATTTGAAGATGGAAATTTCAACAAAAAATGAAAAAGCATATGATACCCAGTTATTCTGTTAAAGGTAAAGCTGTCCGTGTTTAATTAACTTAGCACCAGGTTATGAAGATGCACTGGGGGTAACAGGTATAGCTCCATCGTTCTTGACCTTGGTATTAGATGGAGGTGAGTGGTCAGCTCACACCCAAGCCCAGCCGCCTTATGCCTGGGGAAAGAGCCACCACTGGTACCTACTGAACAGGAGGCTCTGCCTCTGCCACAAATCAAACCCCAGCCATCCAGCCTATAGCAATACTGACTGGGCTATTTCAGCTCAGTTATTCTAGCACAGAACCAAAATTTATTTAGTGAAATATATGTGGTTTGGATTTTGAATATCATTAATGTATACAATTTGGTGTCATGAAGTTCAAATGTATGCAGTAATTGTCACTTTATGACAAAATTTATAAAATCTGAATTCCCATGGATACATGTAGGTCCTACACAGGGAATCGCTTTCTGTTATTAGTTGCCGCAATGTGAGCCTTGGTAACAAAAATCATGGTCTTGTTGAAACCCAGTATATAATCTTACCTTTGACTAATACAGGCTGCTGTGTAAATCCACTGCGCCTTCATTATACCAGAATGTCAAGGAGATTTCAGGTCATGATGCTTTAACGTCTGACTCATGGCACTACAATTACCTACTTTGATAAAATGGATATTACTGAATTCTTAGCTAAACTATAGCTATCAGAGTACATATCACTTGACAGTCTTCCATGTTTTCTATTAAACATCAGCTCACAACATTGCTTGGCATAGTTAACTTAATTTTCATTATAACATCAGCGTACATCAGTTGCATCTCCTCTGCTTTTGGTCTTTCTCAATAATAATAATAATAATAATAATAATAATAATAATAATAAAAACACCATTTGATATGGTCAGAAAATAGAGGCCCATCCCCCAAATTGAATGAAAATAACCTTCTGTCATAAAATTAACTTAATGCCCTTCACATGTTCTCCTCCTGCTTCAGTGCTGGTATCAGATCTTGTTTCCTAATTGCCAGTGACAGGTGAAAGCCCATTAATACTCTCCAAAGTACAACTGTTACATTGCTAAGGTCAGAAACAAATCAGTGTTCCCATATTTTTCCATAACCACATAAAGAGAAAATTATTATAAAGAACCAGATTTGTGAATAAAGTGTATACAGCATGACCATAATCCTGTGTTCTTCAGTTACTTGTTCGTAAATTACAAAATAATGTGCAGTTACATTTGGCACGTCCAGACGGCAGACTAATGCATCGTTAAAAATATGCTAGCCACCATCCTGTAACTACACTAGCACATGTGTATCTCACATTAATATGATGACCAATTTTATTACTTCACCAATGTGATGATTTTTCATTCATAATGTGACACATATTGGTTTAAATCAGTACTTCTCAACTGGTGAGATGTGTATTACTTGTGGGACTTCATGGTCAGTTGTGCGAGATGTGAGGTCTCAAAAAGGGGCTTTCTATTAATGATTAACAAAACATGAAAACATACATACCTTCTAGGAAGAAGAGAAGCTTTGTTTTCAATATGGTGGGACTACGTATTTTGGCAAAATGACTAGCGAACACAAGATGGAACAGGCTGAGAATAACTGGGATAAGTAACTGTGAACGAACTGACTTCTTTGAACATCCTTTCACCATTAAAATATTGCTGTGCTTCTTTCATCTAAATGCAGACATATTACACAGTTTTCTTCTATGTACAAATCCATAATGTGTGGGTAAAGAAGTCTTTCACTCTACTGACCCAGCAGAAGTAGTGATAAAAATATGACTACATGAAATGCACAAGACAACTTCTAACTTGTTGTCCCCTGCCACCTCGTGGAGCAACTGGCTGACTGATGTACAAGTGTGTCTATTCCGAGGAGGAGAATCTTATCCATAAACTCTTTTGCACAGTTAATAAGTCAAAAGTCAAGTGATAAATTTCTTCCTTTAATTTTATGTATCATCCATGTGTATAAGTCTCAAAGGGTGATGAAGATGAGTAACCCCATTAGCAGGACATAACCAACAGTCCTCTTCAGCAGACCACCGCTGTACATACATCAACTGTGTTCATTTTTGTGCTAAGTGTATTTGTTCATTTTCCCCACAAATTCAAAGGCATGTTTATCTTGACAGAGATAAAACTAAAGATCATTCTATTGCATATTCTCCTCAGTCTGTATAACAGCGAGTGAAAAGTATTTTAGTTATTCAACAGTATCATCATAACACCTACTATCACATTACAAATCATGAAATCACGCAGCTGTATGTGTCAATTCAGAACTAGACCTGGAATTTCAATTGTGTGACATCCAACAAAGGATTCAAATAGAAATGAAGTGAAGATTTTTCAGTATCCATTCTCTGTATTGATCACTTTACCAACTAAGAAAACAGAATGTCACAACATAAAATGAATACCCAGACTTTGGAAAATGAATTGAATCTTAAGAAAATGGCAATAAAAATCTGCTTACTAAGCTTCACATTTATAGATGTCAACTGGGCTGATGGGTTGCACAAAATGCAAATCAAAGTGCATGGGGACATAACAGAACAAATTTCAGAAACAAGTTTCATATATTTATGCATAAATTACTTTACATCAAGTACTCACACTGTACTCGTATGTGGACTTCAGCAGATCTGCACATAAATAGACATCTTGGTAGAGACTGGCAGTGTCTTGGATTGCCATGTGGGACTTTGTGAACTGAGATAAACTCTCTGCACCTAACTTTGATCAAATGTGGGAAGTTCTTTTATAAACAAGAAAACACTAATGAAACATACTGAAACCAAGCTGAAGATCTGTATTAACATGGACTCAAAACATAAACTTCTGAAGTCATTTCACAATAACTGAAACTGTATATACATGAAACGACAGTGCTAAGATTGTTCACCTCTTACCACCCTGTGTCAAAATTAAACACTTTCCCTCCAGGAGAAATAGAATTAGGCAGCATATATAGTTTAGTCTCATTATTAAATACCATAAAATGAATTAAATACAGGAAATTAAAGATAAAAATGTGAACAGTTTTAGCACAATAAATGATGATTATTTCACAACTAACAGCTTCATCAATGTATATCAGAAGTCGAGGAGCAAATGGTAAATAAATAAATGAAACATTTAATAAAAAAAAAGCATTCAATTTGATGCAACTTATAATATTTACACCATAAACATAAGATTCATCTACCACACATCCTATCCATTATGCATACATGATATTTTAACCACTTGCACACGCTCCAAGGTTTCTTTGTTGCTTGCAAGGTAAACACCAGAACTCTTCATATGTGTGTTAACTGAATTCACAGTCTTATTTGGGTTGGTTCTTACAGCATTATTCAATGTACTGGTTTATTCACTAGTAACTCTTCTGAAAGTTGTTCACACTGAAATTAAATTTGCAAACATACTGCAATATATGTAAACCCAATACTGATTTCCAGAAATTCAAAATTATCACAAAAACAGTAAATGTATGCCATACAAACTTAAATTATAGAGAGCTAAATTTCACTATGGCCATGATATATGAGTAAGGTGGAATATTACAAAATGCCATTCATTCAATGACACACAGTATATGAAATTAAAGAAAATGTTCATTTTCATACAATATGTGCAATATGTACCGACTGGAATGGTCTAAGAACTTTGTGTTTGCTCAGAAATCATTACTGAATTTTATGAAATCACCCTACATCTCATCAGGCAAATGGATACCTAAATCAGAAACTTCAAACACAATTAAAGATAGACTTGAAAGGATTCTGACGATGGTTAGGCTGTAGAGAACTGTAAGGTTTCTTATTTTGGACTCTATCCATCATCTGGTATATATAAGACAAAAAAAAAACCAGTCCAGTGATTGACACTAGTTCTAACAGGCCCAACTGAGTAGGCCTATCTTGCCCCATCCACCTGAGGACGGAGACAGATCTAGTCTCCGAAACATGGTTTTTTTTTGTCTTATATATACCAGACGATGGATAGAGTCCAAAATAAGAAATCTTACAGTTCTGTACAATGAAAGATACAAGAAATGCATCACTCAGATTTGGCAAACAACGATACCATTATGCCTTATTTAACTGATATGTAAATAATTCTGCATAAAAACTCATATTTATTTTACATGACACAGTTTTCTTATTTCTGTTTGATGTCTGGTTTGACGCATGAAAGACTCATTACTTAGTTGAAATTAAAGTTAGCACACTTTAGTGATGACCTACACTATTTAAATTCCAAGCCAAACTGCATATCAATGCACTCATATTAGGCTAAATTGCTTATAACTAAAATTTAATTTCAGGTAAACTGAAAACAAGTGAAAATTCTTCCTCCCATGCGGGGACAGCAGTAGTGTAAGAACACTGCTAACTAAATCTCAACTGGACTGACATTCTTTAAATTTTACCGTGGCACAGAAACATGAACAATTTTATATAAATATTAGAAAGTGCTTCAAAATAACATAAATACACACTAGGAAATGGTTACTACAGAAATCAATTCTTATTCAGATTTGCATTATTACATATTGCAATTATTTTACCACAATCTAATACAACAACTGATTTTCTGATATAATAGAACATTTTTTTTATTGGGTTCCAGCACTACTAATATTCAACAAAACAATCACATGACTACAGCCTAGATTTTTCAGCCTGGCATTAATACTTTTGTAGAGATTATGAAACAGAATTGTGGTATTCAGTTCTGTCAAAAAGTAAATAAAGCACAAGACCAGCAAAACTGGCCTTTGAATGCTCCTAACATTTCATCATTATATAATGAAAGACTTTCAACTGTTTCTGTTACAGGAATGTCTTGCACATAACTACTTCCAGTTTCAGTATCATATGATCACAGGCAGACATCTCCAGTTCTGTAAAGTTCATGATAGCCAACAGAGAACAATGAATTCGCTCTTTAAAACAACTAGGAAAACAGTTTAGAGCTGTAATGCATGATTATTATGTCAGACTGAAAATTAAAACAACCTTAAAAATATTTTACTGAAGATTATTTGATTGTCAGAATTCTTTGTCTACAAGTGTGTTCAAGATGGATATTGTATCATGGGAATGAAGCTGGCCTCAAATTGCCAGCTTCCATGCTTGCATTCAACTTGAGGAAACTGTGGCCTTTGAGTTTGGGGATTCATGTATGTTCTGATAACATAACCTACATGTAAGCACAATGTAGGTTTCTTTTTCTTCTTGAGGAGATGAAGCAATATCAGACTCACTTATGGTCTTCAGATAAATCTGTGGCAACAGAAAGAAAACTGTATATTTCAACTCATGCCTTGGTGAAAATAAGAAAACTGTCATTCAATCTTTCTTCCAATTTTATTGAGATAACACGAACTTGTGGTTCTAGCATGAATATGTTTAAAATATCATGCAGATTTTAATAATGTCAAACTTCCACCCTGGGTGTTAACTTGGAAGTGACCAATAAAGACAAGGACAAAAAATACATTATTAAAAATTTGGGGTTCTAACACCTTAAATAAGTGTTACAGATGCCATTGACTACAAAATCTGACAATGATCCAATTTTCATCTGAATTTCTTAATAGACTGATGCTTTTAAAAGACCTATTCTACCACAGAATAGTCAGATGTGGTCTAGACTTCGGAAGCAAACATAGGGTCCATTGCTACAAGTAATATGTTTTTGGACATTATCCATTGGACAGGGACAGGAACAGAATCCATTCTCCGAAACGTTGTGTTTTAAAAAGAAACAGGACGGTTTAAAAAAAAATAGACAAGACGATGGATAATGTCCAAAAACATATTACTTGTAGCAATTTACCATCGTCACAAACTTCTAGATCTTATGGGGTCCATTCTTTATGTCACTATATCATCCTATGTTCACAAAGCCCTAAAATTTTGTGTTACCAAGTACAATACAGAAACTGTCCTAATATTCAAAACACATGGACCTCATGAAACTCCTCGTGTTCTTGCCACAGACTGAAAAGACTGAACTTGCTGTGAAACCCGAGACTAGGGGAGAGGAGAATTCTGATTGTGATAAGTATGTTGAGAAGAAAGTAGGCTAATAGCTGTTACAGTCTGAATATTATTCATGATGAGTATTCCAGCATAAAAGGAAGGTTATTCTGAAAATTAAAACCTGCACATATGTTTGTATTTATACAAAGAAAATGTTCAACTTCGATGCTGAGCATCTTTAGAAAAAGTCTAACACATGTTATGTGCATAATTTTAAGGGATGTTACAGTGCCATTATTCACATAATACAGTATTACAGCTTAATGTAATAGAAATCTCAGCTGAAATTTGAATTTCACAAAAATAACTTTTCTCTGGAGATGCTTTTGTGCTTTAGGGCCCTCACAGAACTACGAAATTCAATTTTAATTTCTTGTATAAGCCAAAGTAAAGGAGCACTCAGCTGACCTCAAAACACTTCAAGTACTTACAAACTTTCTATGAATGATTAAACATAACTCCCTTCCTGTAACATTATACAGTTCCTTAATCTTTCTGACAATAAAACCTGTGGTGTGACACTTGGAATACTGGTAACTTTTCAATTTTAAAATAGGCAAAGAGGATGTCATAGTAAATGCCATTCCTCATGTAAATTATCAATGTAGAATCGTTCAGAAATGTTCTCTAGCAATAATGATACAATACTAAATCAGTCACCAAATTAATTTCCAACATGAATAACTTCCAGAGGAATTACTCTTTAATAAATTATTCAACCATCCTACAGCTAATTGTATATGCATTAAAATTTGCTTCATGTTCTCACGATCCCTTTACAAACCATAATGCTGTGACCACCCATACCCAGTATGTCCATGCCAGGCTGTGGCTGCTGGCATGGACCCGGGCCAGAACATGTCCTAGCTGGTCCGTTGACGCTTGGAAGGGTTCTCCTCACCACCAGCATTCATCCGACTGAACATGTAGTTCATCTGTGGCATGTATTGCATCACATCTCGTACTTGCACCAGTGGAAGTATGTCGTTGACACTTTGACATTTGCCTGAATCCCGCAGGATGTTCATTTGCTGCCTGTACACCATCAAAACAAGTCTCTTTTAGAAAATGAGGAAAGCACATAATTGTTATTCCTAAAATCTTAATTTTAGAATCAAGAACTCTCCACTTCTTCTTACACTGAATGTTACAGCTGAGAAACCATCTTGCTGAAGTGTGACGTCTTCGAATTATGATGAATCTATTCCAGTCTCATTTAATAACAAATTAACATGACAAAAGCATGAAGTTAATGCCAATAAATTGTTGAAGGATAGTGCAATGCATGTCTGATAAAACTAATTGTTCATATTAAATTTTTATAGTAATGTATGTAAGCTGTTAATTTTCACATTTTAGATGGACAGGAATGAATTTCTTCCTTCAAGTGCTCAAACCTTTGAAATGAAAATGAGTAACAAGATAATGATGAACTGTGCCTTGTTTAGTCCATAAAGAGCAACACTGACAATATTCAATTATAGCAATACAAAGTTATAACACATACAGATCACATTATACAACTGTATTACAAAAATTTTGTACACATGCATAATAAAAATTTGCTTAAAAGGAACTAGTGAAACTTTCCTTGAACACATACTCAGGAGGAAAATATTTTGATCACCCCAGTCTGTATATAACAGAATATTTTCTGAAGATTTTGTAATGACTTCTTGTTTATTATTCAGAAACTGCCTAAAATAAATAACAGTAAATTACAAGAGATTGGTGATAAATATTTTAATTATAGGTTAACCATTTCGAGAGTGATTATTTATAGCTGATAAATTCTAATCCTTTAGGCATTTAAGCAAGAGGATTTCAAGAATGATGTATTTAATGATGTGACTCGTTCAAGTGTTACGGTTGTAGCAATTATGAATGCCAAATAAAATGAATGAATTTATCCGCAAAGAAAGAGTTCAATCTCTCTGCATATCTACACTTTGGAGAATATCAAAGAATAATCTACTAACTTCAGACACTGCATAAAATATACTGTGACATGTTGCGCAATGGAGGACACCCCCTCCCACCCCAGTGGTATGTGGTGGCATTGGAACGCTGTCGTTACTATGGTAATAGACAAGTCAACACCCTGCCCCTCTCCTCGAAGTGACGTAACACGGCGTCAGGCAACAGCAGTACCCATTTCGTAACAGGCAAACACTGCGGCTATATAAGGGAACTACACAGCCGCCGAAGACAGTTCTCAAGTCAGCAGTGAACGAGTTCTCAAGGCAGCTGTTTACGAGATGGTTGTGAGTTAGCCAGGCAGTCAACCTTTCAGTTGTAGTCTAGCATTTGCAGTCTAGTATTTGTAATACTGCCGATGGCAGTAATTGTGAGATTGTAATTTTTGTGATTGTAAGAGCGAATGAGAAATAAAATTCGCTATATCAGATACGGCGTGAAGTTATTTGTTGCGTTATTCACCCAACACCTGACAATATGTAACACTCCAACATTAAGCTTAAAAATTGTCTTCATTTTAAATTTAATGTAAATTTTAAGCACATAAATGATTCTGTGGAAGAGAAGTAACAATGCTTATTACTGAAGTACCATGAGAATGCGTTTACATCTTTTCTCCTGTCAAAAATCTCTCTGCAAAATGATATTACACTGACAATTGCACAATTTAAGATATAAAGTAATTTAATTTAGGCTCCAAAAACTGTTGGAATAGGAAAAACTAATTTCATGACATGAGTCCATACTTCCATTTGCGTAAACCATTTTATAGTGCAGTTGGAATAGCGACTGGCTACAGGCTAGACAGCCAAGGGGTCAAAGTTCGAGTCCTGAATATTCATTTCATGTTGTTCAAATCGGCTCTAGAACCCATTCAGCCCCCTAATCCAAATGGTTATGTGGGGCTCTTTCACCAGGAGTAAAGCGGCTGGGGCATGAAGCTGACCACTCACCTCCCACTAGTGCCGAGGTCAAGAAAACATGGGTCTATACAACTTCCCCATACATCTTCATGGCCTAGTGCTTAATTAGTTAAGCACAGGGACAACTTTACCTCTTACAGATTCTTTGCACTCAGTGCATTAAGTGTATATGCTGTCACATGTTAGGTGGCTTGACAGGTTGTTTGGATTGGTAACTGGATTTATTAACTCTTGCAAACTGTAATTAAAATTAATTATAGTCCTATCGCTAATTCACACACTTTACAATTCATTACAGCATGCACTAAGTCTTCTCATTTTGCTGCCTGGCAATGGCTCCCAATGCTGTGGATTCCTTAGCTTCCCTGTTCAGTGGCTTCTGTCCTTGCTGGCTGGAGACTGTCTCACCTATCTTCAGACTTGGACTGGTCTGTCTGCCTCAGAAGAAACTAATTACTTAATTAACTATCGGTTTCGGTTCCCGGTATATAGCCTCGGGGCAAAACTCCACAGATCTTCCAACAGTTCTTCTATTGTTGTGTGCATATCCGCTGCCAAGGACACGGGTTTACTCAGCTTTTTGACTCGCAATGACAATCTCTTCTAGTTCCACTATTCTGGCCTTTTCAGCTCTGTTACAATATATATATGGGTGATGGTGTGTCCATCCACCAGTGTTACTGATATTTCAAAGTTTATATACTGCTTCCATCTTCAGGGTTGGAGCAGCGTAAGTGTTCATTGCCAGTGCCAGTATCCGGATCGAAGGCAACCCAACAGACACGTTTGCAATGGTACACTGCTGAGGAAAATGGGTGCAGTTATGACACCAACACTTGCTGGTCATAGCAGATGCAATGTGAAATTGTCAGGTGCTGTACATGCTAATCTACTGACTAGCACTCATCGGACTTCATATGAAACAGTCTCTTTCTTTGGAAGCAGTTTGGCATATAGTGCAACAGAGGTAACTGTATCCTTTCCACGTCCAACTGGGCTACAACCCGGAACAATAAGCTCTGCCTTCAGTTGTTGATGTGTTCTACACAAAACCATACATAAACCTAACTTTCTGTCAGAGTTTCATCCAAGGCTATATACCAGGAAATGAAACCGATAGTTAGTTATTTCTGAGGGAGACATACCAGTCTGAGTATGAAGAGATGCGAGACAATCTCCAGCCAGCAAGGGCAGGAGCCACTGAACATTGAAGCTAAGGAATCTACAGCATTGGGAGCCATTGCCAGGCAGCACCTAAGTGAAGACATAGAGAAGACTTTGTGCATGCTGTAGTAGATTGTAAAGTGTGTGAATCAGCGATAGCACAATAATTAATTTTTTGAAATGTATCTGTAAGCATATCAGGCAAAAGTTTATAAGATTTGGCAAATGTGCTGTTCCTGATGATGAGTGACAGAGATGACAATATTATTCAGGGGTCTGTTTGGGAGGGCATGGAAAATTACAAGAGACAGGCAAAACTTGGGCAGTGCTGGACTTCAACATGCTGCAGAACATATAACACAAATTATGGAAGTTTCCAAACTGTTTTCCAACAGAGAACTAATAAAATACAAGTGCTGAAAGGGCAACGAGATACACCAAGCAGTTTCTAAATGGGTGTGAATTATCAAGCACTTAAAAGACTGCTAGGGAATGAAAATCTGTGGCAGACAAACAGATATGCCAAGCAGTTTCTAAATGGGTGTCAACTATTGAGCATGTTGACTGCAAAGGCATAAAAATCTGTGGCAGAGAGAGAAATTTATGTTGCATTTGGTCTCTTTAATGCTCAAGGGCATTATTCATAAACCTACTCTCAGGTCACATTTTACCACAAATATGGCAATTTCCATACTGAAATTTGGAAATGTTATAAGAAACAATGAAACTAATATTTCTGTTTTTGAACTTCACCATGGTGGAGGATCTCATGATTCTGTTGGTGAATTATATAGGGCATATGGAATATTCATACTACCAGCAGCCCAAAGGATGATATATCACTGCCCCACTTGGTTGAGCATAGATCCATGACCTATGCATTGAGTAGAGCTGATGGACAATATGAGGTCCTCAGCCTCTGGAGAGTTCTAGCTAAGTTTGAGGCTCTTAAGAGCCCAAGCAACACTTGGGGGGGAGGGGGGGAGGCACAATGGACTCAGTAAATGTCTAAGGTGTAAATGCTTAAGGGACAACTACAAGCTCCCCTGCCCGGCCAAAACAAGACACAATACAGACAAATTTACTTAATTTAAACTTTCAGTTTTGTGTTGATCTGTGTTTGATAATACAAAGAAGTTACATGTCTGAATACTGACAATTCCTATTGTAATATATGTACTTTTTGTCCTGAAAAGCTATTACTAAATCATGCGCATGTCTTAAAATTGACAGTGTCTTTTTTTGATGAAAACCTATTAGCAAATCAAGGGTGCATCTCACAAGGGATGATATCTTAGCATCATCAAATATGGAAATTGTAAAGCATATGATTATTCATTTGCAGGAATAAACCAGAAAAAGTATCTCGGTGAAAAGTTCTTTCAGGTGTTGATTATTGGTGCTCAAGATTAGGTGCCTAATGTCAGTCAATGCTAATGACAGCCATAAAAATTAACATTTATGACCAGAAAACAAATTTATGGGGGAAATATTGAAAACCATTTACAAATACATCGGATTCTGTTGGCTTCTGAAATAGGAAATCTCTTGTTTCAATTAACTAACCTCATAGGTAATCTATTCTTGCGTCAGTAATGCCACTACTTCTGTCCATTATTTCCAAGCGGATCCTTGGGGATGGTATTAAAAAGCTACATTCTATTAACATATTGTGGCTGTCTGCTTTCTAGGCAAATGAAATACATGGTAAATTGAACTATGGGCCAGTGATCCCAGGATCATAAATTATGCTTCCGATCACATTGCTATTATACTAGCCATTTTCTTAAAATATGTGAGTTTAATGCAAATACTGTATTAGATATAACATGCATATTTCATTTAAATAATTAAAACTTGTGCGATTTCAAGTCCAGTGAATATTTAACTAGATATTCTCCAATATATATTAAATGGGCTATAAATTAATGTGAATAAAACTTAAAGACACTAATGATTTTTATAGTACTTCTAATCACAGAACAGAAGTGTTGTATGTATTATTTCATCAAAATCTATCAAATGACTTCAAAGATAAACTATGACCATAAAGAATTCATTTAGGACCCCAAAATGAATCAAACTAAACTGATATTAAAATGAAATAACAAAATTCAACAGAAATATGTCTTGTAGATGAAGTACTGTTATTTTCAGATGAACATAAGGAAACTAAAACAAAGAAACAAACTCCGTGGTTTCAGTCCGCAAGGAAACTATACCGACCAACCGCTGCTTGTCAGCGAAGTTACTGCCAACCTTAGGGGATAGATGGTGTCGTGTGGTCAGCACAACAAATCCCCATGGCCGTTAATTTCATTTTTCTATACCAGAGCCGCTGTTTTCTTGAAACAGCTCCTCAATTATCCTCACAAGGCTGGGTGGACCCCATTCCAGACCCACTACTTCTCATAAAATTTGTTAGCACTGTTAATCGAACCCAGACCTCTGCATCTGTAGCCAGAAACTCTGACCACGAGACCACAGAGGCGGTCAAGGAAACTAAAATGGACCTTTAAATTTAATTATATCTACACAAGTTTGTTACATGGCATTGGTTTCCACAGCCTACCCCACAAAATACAAAAGTAATCAGTAAACACTGAACAATAACTTCCAGACTTCTATACAATAGAAATAATATTTTCATATGGTTCACTTCACAGCTAATGGCATTATCTCTTAACATCTCAAATATCAATATGATCTGAAACACGAGAATACATAAATATGCATAACCAAAAATCTCCCCAACTGGATATCCAATTATTGGATAATTTTAATATAAACAAAAAAACAAACAAATTATTAGTTAATGTTGCCTGCTTGATTTATTATTGCATATTAGATACTCATACATAAAAATAACAAATGGAACCTGCAAGTGGGAGGAAGTACTCACATATCACTTGGAAGCAAACATAATATCAGAGTAACGAAATACATACCTGTTTCCTCGGTAAAGGTCAAGGCCTAATACATCCTGCAGCACTTGCCTGCAGCTGCTCAGAGGCACAGATGGGAAGAAATGGGTCACCAGGTCTGGTAATGTTATCAGCAACTCGGAGTAGATGAAAGGTTTTGAGTTGATACAGGGAACCATTTTGCCTTCTACTAGTGCCTTCTGGACCTAAATGAAAGTAATACATGAAATATAATGTCTTCAAGCAAAAAGGCATGACGGGGGATAAATAACTGAATTAGTTTATGAATTTTAGTCTTGACATAATTCATCATTTGTATTTTTACATGAGGCATTTCAGCCGATATACAGTAAAACTTGGTTATAGCAACATCGGTTTCTGCGACACCTTGTCTATTGCGTCAAATATTCAATGGTACGAACTAATTCCTCATAAAGCAACTGTTTTTATACCTTGCTTAGTACGACATGCACAAATGCATCAACCTCGTATGTAACGTCATTTTCAATCCTGAATTTCTCAGATATCGTGGGAAAGTTTGACTTGTCTGCCCACCCTCACTTTCTCTACTTGCTGACGTGACTGTCCTGGAAGAATATGACCGCGGGCTGCAAGAGGAGCGTGGGTTTTATGCGAAAACAAGGGTGTGGGGTGGGACTGCGTGAATAGTGCAAGAGGACGCGGCAGGTAGTTAACTGCATTCCTTTCCTAGAATCTCGTCTAACAGGACCTCACATTGTCTACTTACCCTATAGTGTTCCTGCCTAAACCCAGAGAAGTGCAGTAGCGAAAACATGGCAATGAAAAGGAAAGTTTTAAGCATTGAAGAGAAAGTTAAAGTGATTCGTGAAATATTGTGTGTATTGTCAGTGAAAAGCGCTGTAATATGTCTTTGATATTACACATTTGGGCAATTCCACGTTAATGTTACGTTAGTCTGTACTTAACTACATATTTCACTAAAAAATGCAACATTTTAATTCGGTTTTTGGTAGATTTTTACGTGACTAACATAAGGCTACTGTGGAAGTGCCCATTTCGGTTACAACGACACTATTTTTAGGTCCCTTTGATGACGTTATAACCAAGTTCTACTGTATTTTCAAATTATAATGAAGCAATAAAAACCATCAAGAATGAAAACCTTACCCCTTGGATAAAATATGCCTTACAAGTACATGTATTGGTCATATGTGACCATCATCAGAGGCTTACATGTTAAAGAGGTGACTACTTTGTATACGTTAATTTCTAGCAGTAATATCTACATTTCTTCTTGTTCAATTATGCAATAAAAACTGCAATATTGCAAAATTGGAAAGGTATAAATTGCCAGGTAGTGATCAAATTCCGGCAGAACTTATTCAAGCAGGAGGTGAAATATTACATTCTAAAATCCATGAGCTAATTAAGTCTATTTGGAATAAGGAAAAATTGCCTGTTCAGTGGAAGGAGTCTATTATTGTACCAGTTCACAAGAAGGGTGATAAAACTGGCTAGTAATTATCGTGGGATATCACTATCAACTTCATACAAAATTTTATCCAATATTCTTCCCTCAAGATTAAGTCCATACATAGAGAAAATTATTTGGGATCACCAGTGTGGCTTTCAACATAACAGATCAACTACTGATCAGATCTTTTGCATTCGTCAGATACTGGAGAAAAAATGGGAGTACAATGAGACAGTACATCAGCTATTCATAGACTTCAAGAAAGCATATGATTCAGTTAGAAGGGAAGTATTGTACAATATTCTGACAGAGTTTGGGATACACATGAAACTAGTCAGGCTGTTATATTTTAGCGTCCTGTTGCACTGATTTAAGTCCATGATTTATTTAAACTGTCTTGCAGTGCATACACTCATCTATCTCCTTCTCTCACTCGCACTACATGTTTCGGCACAAAAATGCCATCTTCAGGTGCTTACTCAATCCACGCCAAACTAGTGCATTGCATGCCTTGTCCTCACATTAAAATAACTAAAATATATATATCTATTATATACACTGACAAATGTCAAACGTTAAAAATATTAAAACTGTACAGGATTCCTCATCGCTACGTCGCATCTTACTATGCTAGTCACGCCCATCCTCCTCTGTTGGAGCACTTCTTCACTATCGTGTGTGTATTGTGTTTCTGTTGTGTCTTGCTCCTGTGACTGCGTGTGTTATACTGTCATTGACAGTATAACACATGCAATGAACTAATTTGGCGTGGATTGAGTAAGCACCTGAAGATGGCATTTTTGTGCTGAAACATGTAGTGCGAGTGAGAGAAGGAGATAGATGAGTGTATGCACTGCAAGACGGTTTAAATAAATCATAGTCAGGCTGATTAAAATGTGTTTAAATGAAATGTATGGTAAAGTCTGTATAGGTAATCATTTGTCTGATAATTTCCCCATTGCTTTAGGATGTCATTAGGAAGGTCCAAGAAAACCAGATGGGACTGAAATTAAATAGGACACATCAGTTGTTGCTCTATGCTGATGATGTGAATTTTCTGGGTGATAATACAGATACCATAAAGAGAAACACACAAACTTTCACTGATGCCAGTAAGGAGGTTGGTCTAGAAGTAAACACAGAGAAATTTAAGTATATGTTGCTATCTCATCAGCCAAAACTTGTACTCTTCACCAAGTATAATCACAATGGAGTCAAGGAGGATGAGATGGACAGGGCATGTAGCAAGAATGGGGGAAAGGAGAAATGCATATAGGGTATTGGTATGAGAGCCCGAAGGAAGGAGATCACTGGGAAGACCAAGACATAGGTGGGTGAACAATATCAAAATGGATCTTAGACAGGATGCAATGGTATGGATTGAACTAATCTGGTTCATGATAGGGACCAGTGGAGGGCTCTTGTGAACACAGTAATGAACCTTCGGGTTCCATAAAATGCTGGGGAGTTCTTGAGTAGCTGCACAACTGGCAGCTTCTCAAGAAGGGTTCAGCTCCATGAGTGAGTGAATATTTACATTTAAATTCCTTTACAACTGAGAGCTTATGTACAAAATGCCAACAGACTGCAAAATTTGTGAACATTCTGGCTTCTGGTGGTATTGCTTTTTATATGCAAATTTCACGCAGAACATGACTGATATATATATTTCTTCTTCATTGTCTGCAAAGTAACACGGTGTAATTATTTATTCTTCTTTAACTTATGATAGGGGGAACATTATCAATTTTTTTATTATAAAGTTCACACCTGCCCATTCGTTGCTACAGTGTGGGGTGTGCTGTGTGCTAGGGATGCGATCAGTGTATGCGATGGTACTAGCATGAATACTACATCAAATAGAACATTTTGGTTTGTGCCTTCTGCTTATCTATGAGTATATTTACCTCTTTATATACAAGGAGTTCTTCTCCAAGTATAATTAGAATGATCAAGTCAAGGTTGATTAGATGGGCAGGGCATGTAGATGAGGGAGAAGAGGAATGCATTGTTGTGTTTGTTGTTCTGTATGTTATTTTATACATTTGTGTTTTAAATACTTAAAAACTGTATGTTGCTGCTTGTGTAAAGATGGTCAACTGTTGCTGTTGTATAATAATTAAACCATGTTATCTTTGCAATAAAGAAATACCAATCACGTCCTGAAAGAATTCTATGTAGTTAAAGGAACTCCCAACATGAAGACAGAATGTCTACAAATTTTTCAGCTCACTGGGAATTTCAACATAAGCAAAGGACTCTCTATGCTCTCAACTGCAAAGGGATTTAAATATAAATATTACTGCTAGAAATTAACGTACACTTAATGTGCGCTAAGCAATCTCCTCTATAACATGTAAGCCTCTGATGTCCCTGTATGGCTGAAATGCGTAAGGCATATTTCATTCAATGAGTAAAGTTTTTAGGTACTGCATGTTATATTTGATGATTTTTATCATTTCATCATAATTTGTATTTTTAAATGGAATTAATTTTAATTTTTCTAAAATCCAACTAATCATTGGGCATGGGTATGACAATTTGAAATAGAATGAAATAAACTGTAGAGGCAAAGTTTTGAAGATGAAACTATTATGAAAATAAACCCTCTCTTGGTCTGCTTGTATTAGTTTCATTGGTACAGATGTAATCAAATTATGTGGTAAAACAGTACAACAGGAAATCATACGCTCAGTCAAACCTATAAAAATAACAGCAGAGGCATTGAAAAGTAGTACAAGTAAAGGAGAAGAACAGATAGATAAGTAGGGAGCTAGTCACCTCCATGCAAAAAAAAAAAAAAAAAAAAAGTTCACTGAAATATGAAGCCTATGTTAATGGTTTTTTTAATGTTCAAGAGTTGTGCATTATGAATTTGTTCTACAAAGACAAACTGTAAACCAATATTATTACACTGACATTTTACAGCATCTGCAGGAAAACATGCGGAAAAATCGACCTGAAGTGAAATTCACGGTTTCTCCATTATGATAACACACCTGTTTACTCTACTTTGTCTGTGCATAAACAATATGAGTGTCATTTCACAGTCATCCTACTCGGCAAATTTAGTGCCATGTGACTTCTTTCTTTCCCCAAAACTAAAATAATATTAAAGGGAAGGAGATTTAAAGATGCCACCATGAATCAAGCATAATCACAGGATACACTTGCTGAGTTTCAAACTGGCTTCTGGAACTGCTCTGGACAGCAGTGCCGTTCACTGTTACTATGAATGGGACAACACAAGTCTGAGGGTACATGCTGCTGTTATGGAGAAATAAATTTAGTCAGGAAACTATCTTACTGAACCCCTACATCTGATCAGCTGTATTTTTCTTACGTTCACGTTCCTCCAACATTATTATTATTACCCATACTAAAAAGGTTTCCAACAGTTTTGTACCTAGGGGGCTTGTATATTTGTGACTCAGTTTTTAACATCCGATGCTAATTAAATACAAAATACAGGTTTCAAAAATCCTTTAAATATGCGTTTTCATGAAAATAATACAGGGACCATTCCTGGCAGATCTACCTACCAGCAGATTTCATACTACCTGAAACTAGCAGCTGCAGTGCTTTATCGGCGTACTATTACCATAATCTCAGAAGGCATTATCATGATTTTATTGTATACAAACACAGACATATAAGAGTCCTTAAAAACATCAAAATACCTACAAAGGTAACATTTTCACACTCTCAAGCAAGTAAAAAGTTCATGTGAAAATGTTACATTACTGATTACAGTTACTTCCGATACTACCAAAATTCAAAACAAATTCTACATAATTTTTCAAAGTAGCAATTAATTGCATCACTGGCTATATTCAAATCATTTTAACTCCTTTAAAATCAGGGCCTGAAACAGAATTACCTGGGAAAGGTCAAACCAAAGAGTCTTGGGAGTAGCACTAGTGCCTTTCACTGTGGCCATAAATCAGCATTATTAAAACAAAAGGTTGTAAACATAATTTACAATCCAAAATCAAGGGCATTATTTATAGAAATAACATGCATGTCTCAACAGGAAGCATCTATTGTGTCTTTTAAGGGAACATGATGCTGTCCCATGATAATGTCGATCAGGAAGAGTGCAGTTTTCTGGGCTGCAATGCTGTGTAGTTCAGACAGCCAAATGTTTCAGAGCAACATACTGCTTTCCAAAGCCTACCACCCACTTCTGCTGGTATCTTATGTCCCTTATTCTTTGACCCTGATGACAGAGGTGATATGTTCCTCAAAAAAGTATTGCTCTCTCCAAACTACATGGCATTACAACCCCAACTCTTCATAGTTGACCGCCATGGGAACCTAAACTCTGACAATGTCAATCATTATTTCATTATGCACTTCACAATACTACTTTCATTTCTAATATCAAGGGAAAAAATCTACATCTCATCTGTGATAGTATGGCCAGATTTCAAGAGGCACAATGCCATTAGGGCTACAGAGTTAAATAAAGCGATAAATACATTATGCAAGCTGCAGAGCAGAGGACTGGGAGATGAATCTGATCATGAATTTGTAAAGCTTTGAATTCTAAACTCACTTTATTCCATACAATATAAGATGACGGACTCTGCATCAGCCATGGGAAGCGAAGAGCACCCAAATAAAATGATGACAAAGGTTACACAAGTATGACTCCAACTTCAGCAAAGAAACCTACCCACCTGATATGGTATGTGAGACCCTGAAGTGGCTGTCTCCCCAATCTGTATGAGTTTCCGACCGCACGGAGACGCATGGTCACTGTTGTTAGCTGGAGTAGTACTACTACCAGTCCTTCCGTTACCCATACTAGGCCTGTGAGGTGACTGAGGTGGAGAGGAGAGGTCTATGACATCAGCACCCGAACTGTAGGCCCCACTGCCAGATGAGTACCGGGATGTTCCGTTGACTGGGATGAGAGGAGGAGGGAACTTGCTGGAATTATTGTTGCTACTGTTGGTGTTGCTGCTACTGCTACTGTTCGGAGGTGTGTGTCTTTGCAGTGCTTGAGGTGAACCAACCACAGCCGGTGTGTAATGTGGAGAATGTTGCGAGTGGAGGAGGGAGCTTGTATGAGGAGGGGGAAGCATCTGGTGGTGGGAAGGATCAGTGAGACCCATCAGATGCAAGGAACTCTGAGACACATTTGGCATATTGCTCAGTCCAGTTGAAGAGGTGTATGTACATGATGACCTGAAATGAAAAAACAAGACCCACATAAGTGCTAAAAGCATATATTTCCTCCCCAAAATGCATTATGCATGTTCCTTTTCTTTAGTTTGTATTTTCTTAGGAAGCTAAAAGGCAAAGATAAATGCCATAAATATGACTGGTAAGAAGGAACAACATGCAATTATCTCAGTACCCATCCTCACTGAAGTAAATATAACCACAACTAACATACACATATTAAAAAATAAAAATGAATCAATTTAAAAACTAAATTTTCCTAGAATGTGTGTGTTTGCTGGTTCACGGATTATTCATTATGCCACATTTACTACACAGTTTGTAGAATGAAAAATTGAATGAAAGGATGACATGTAGGGTTAAAACATATCAGGGGGAACCACTGCCTATTTAAAAACACAATTCAAGGATTCATTAGGACTGGGAGCAATCATGAAAACCTCAGAGATGGTCAGCACCCTATTGAATATTTGAAAGTTCCAAAATACAAGTCAGCTGCACTGAGGCATACATCAATTTGCTTGCTTGGTGTGTGTGTGTGTGTGTGTGTACTGTACACACAAATATGCTATCTTGTTCAGAGATACCCTGTGCACAGTATCAATTCAAAGCCTTGCTGCAGTGCTGACTTTTTCGCTTTTGATATCTTCTGTTCCTACTTGTTCAATACAACACTTAAATCAGCATTCTTCGCTCAATTTCCAACATATATGGTTCACATGTTTCAATTATAACAAAATATCACAGCAGACTTTAACCATTTCTACCATACTGTTACCATCAACATAAAAACGTTTGGAGCTAAGGCAATGTACATTACACCACAGAATTACAAAGCAAAACTTACCTCTTTCATCAGACAATACACCTTTATAGATTAGTGATTTCATGTCAGTGCATTCAATATCGTAGAAGGAAACCACAAGAAGATTGCAAAACAAAGAAATGACTGACGACAAAAACATTTTTTCTGAATTCTGACTTAACTTCTACAACTACAGTCAATATCAGTACACAGACTGTAAAATGTGAAACGGTAAGGAGGGGAATGGGGAATGCCAGGGCCAACAGTTTGAAAGCCACCGTTTTCATCTATCACTCCATCATCAGCCATAAGTAATGGAATTTGCCCACTGGGTGTTCTCAGCTAGCATACCTACTCCAACAGCATAATGGGTTAACAGAGTTTGGTACGATAAAACTTCTGTGTATAGTAACTTGTGAGTTTGTCAAACTCAATTTGTGGTATTCTGTTTCAGATGCTGATATGTACACCTTGCAGATGTTTTCAAGATCATCATTAACGAGTTCTGCACAATAATATATGGTTTGTTAATGTGTGTGATATACACTGAACAAAGGCCAGAGCTGCTGTGTCGTCAGATATTTCTGCAATACAATGGTCACCACATTATGTACTGGTAAATGAAAAGTAACCAGAAAAGAAATGTCAAGCTAGGGCCTGTATGGACTAATTTATGTAACAAAAATGGGACTTTTATATGAAGATGATCAGTAAGTTCTGAAGTTTATGCAGTATATAAATCAGAAAATCAAAACAGAAAGAGACAACAAACTCCACTCCATATATAGGCATGTAAATTAAACATAATTACATTAAACATAATTACAGTTCATTCAGGAAAAGAATCCCTTATAGCACTTTCTAAAATACATTCTTTACCACATCTGAAGAATTAATAATATACACTTATAAATGAATTGTGGTCCAGATTGTCTTTTGCATTATTTTACTGGGAAATTAACATAGAATATGGACCTCTGTGGGTTTACTAGCAAATAAAACTGCTAGCATTATGATTCTGTGGACAGTACCTAATTAATCAATCGTGGATCATGGCAGATAACTTAAAAATTGTCTTGTATTGATAAAAAATGATCTGCACAATTTTATAAATTAACTTATGAAACTACAACATGCCTCTGCATATCAAAGCATTATTCTGTTTCCCACAAGACATTTTGCAGCATATCTTAAACTCTTCCAACAACGTGTATCATTCTTTTCTCTAAGAAGAAAACAAAAGGGGTGTAGTGATGCATGCACAGCCAAAAATGTAACACATTAAATCTCAGCAGGTTACCAATTCTATTTTCCTTAAGTTCCTTTTCATTATAGTGGCTCAATTTTCAATGTTTCATTGTTGACTGTTTCATAATAAACATCTCAGATCACTCGGATCATCTGTAATAACCCTGTACATAAAAGCAAATCTAATCATTAATAATTACCTCCCCCCCTTACCCACTCTCCTATCCAATTGGTACCGGGGGCTCTTTCCCCAAGGATAAAGTGGTGGGGATGTGAAGCTGACCACTAACTTCCAGCTAGTGCTGAGGACAAGAAAATGTGGATCTATACGACCACTCCCCAATTTGCCTTCAAGGCCTAGTGCTTAATTCATTAAGCACAGGAACAACTTTACTCTAATGGTTTAATCCCCTACAACTGCAAACCCTTGCAAAGCTAATCATTTCTAGAAAACGAAAGTACAAATCAGGAGTCAACACAACATACTTCTGTATTTCTTTTGGTTGTGCTGATATAATGCAGGCTACCCGAGTCATATACATGGGTTCCCCATTATAATACTGCACACAGTTTCAAGGCAATATACATCACTACATATGTCACAAGAGTAACAAAATTATGGGTGCCAACACAATTCTGAGTTAAAACAAGTTCCTCATTATAGTTAGGATGTAGTATAAGTACAAACTGGCCTCATTAGCAACTGAGTGGCAAGAAACAGCATCACCACAAATGCAAACCCCTGCCCATGGCTGGTAGTCCGCAAGCAAACTATACCGGCCAACTGAGCGACTGCCGCTTTTCGGCAAAGTTAGTGCCAACTTTAGCGAATAGAGGGTGTCACGTGGTCAGCACAACAGATCCCCACGGCCATTAATCTCGGTTTTCTGATGTGAACATTCATTCCATAAATGAAATGTTAACACTTAAGAAACAACAAACAAACAAACTCTGTGCTTCTAGTCTGCAAGCAAACTATTCCAACTGAGCGACTGCTGCTTGCCGGCGAAGTTAGTGCCAACTTTAGCAGATAGAGGGCATCACATGGTCAGCGCAAGAAATTTCCACAGCCATTAATTTTGGTTTTCTAGACTGGAGTTGCTATTTCCTCCATGATCCTCACGAGGCTGAGTGAACCCCATTCCAGACCCCCTATTTCTCAGAAAATCTGGAAGTGGTGGAAATCAAACCTGGACCTCTGGATCTGTAGCCAGGAACTCTGACCACTAGACCACAGAGGCTAACACTTAAAGTTAATGAAATTATTCTGTAGCCCTGAAGTTTCCTTATATTATATTTCAACTTCACAATTGGTAATTCAGATGCAATGCCAATCTCCCATGACAGGAAAGTTGCCATGATATAAGATAATTAAAGTAACTTGTTTAAAAGCATGGGCACTATGAACTGAAGGCAAACAACACTTATACCCTCAGAAATATAGAATGCATAACTGTATCACATGTAGCCCGTTCAAGTGGTCCCTATGAAGCATCAGGGCAGTCAACAGTAAAACAATCGTTAGTAAGACTTGTCACAATATATAAACAGAACAAGGTGATTGCAAATACACATTGCCCTATTAACAAAATAAATAACCAATTTCATTATTTCCTATAGTGCACAAACATATTCAATAACTTTATGCAACTGGAATACAAATACTGGTAAGACTGTATGAGAAGTAACAATAAAAAAAAAAACAGTGATCAATGGGAATAACTTCATTATTTTAGTCTAGTTTACAAGTTTCTTGTAATTTTTTCCTTGACTAATGACCCTGTCATCACATCAATATTTCAGTACTTAATTCTGAAAGAAACACCTAGGTAAATAAATGGCAGTTTTGGTGGCTATCACATAATTTCTTTTATGCATAATAGAACAGAATAAAATCTTTACACTATACACACAATAACTAACAGAGTGGTCCAATGCCATAGCAGTAGAAGAACCCATTAGTGATACGAGAAAATATATCTCACGTGCCATATCACATTATGAGGAATCCTTCCTGGCCAATGAGATCAATAATTTTGGATCAATCTACCCCTCATTAGCCAATACCGTGGGCGATATCAGTTGTACTTTTTACAATATTAAATAAATCCATTACCAAATTTGTATTTGCAGCAGTAATTCTGAAGACTCAAATATGTCTAAATGTAAACAAGTTACCCGGGTTATAATCCTCAGGTTTTCAGAGCTGAAGGTTAATGTACGACTTCAGCTTTTGGAACTATGTTGGGATGAATGCTGATCTTCCAGCATTTAGACAGACTTTAAAAATTCCAGCTTCAGGGATAATGATTTGGGGGGTGGGGGGTTATAGGCTCTTGGACAGTTCTCGCGTTAGGCAATGTGTCAGAGGTTGAAGTCATGACTGAGTGGCCAGAGAAACGGGATGCGAACCAACGGGAGTGTCCATAAGGAGAGTGAAAAGTGGTGATGGAAAATGTTTCATTTGAGGAACTCCATGCACTCCAACATAAAGTTCTTCAGAACTGGATGTCCATGTAAACAGACCCCTGGGGAATGTCTTTACAGGAAAATGCACCCACACAGAAATACCTCCAGGCAACTTCACATCATCCACTGGCTCACAAGAGATCCATCTTTACCACCTTAACAGAGTCATAACGATCTGCAACAAGCCCTACCACGGCAACAAAATGCAACATGTCACGGCGCTCTCCGAGAAAACGGCTAATCCCTATAAGATATCAATAGGTAATCGAAGGTCACAGCCACCAACAAAAACAAGAGAGATCACATGGTATATGTACTTTACACCAATGACAGCATCTCCAGGATACTGAAAAAAAAATGCATTCATTCACAGTCCAGAAGCCAGAAAAAAGACAACCCCCAACCCAAAATTCCAGAGTTCACAAGATCCTCTGCTCATGTGGCAAGGTTTATATTGGCCAAATGGGTTGCCACATATCCACTAGAATTCTTGAGCACATCAGAGACACTGTAATGGAGAATGAGCAATCAGCACAAGCTGAACATTTTACCAGAGACAAAACAAAACATGACTTCAATAGAAGTCAGAGCTAATGTCTGGACCCACCATCCCATCACTGGAAAGCCAATGAAATAACAAAACACCCCCATAATTCACCTCCCATTCCCTGGACCCACCACTTAACTACCTTCATCCAGCAATCACTGGACCCCTTTCCTGTTCACAAGGTAAAAGAAAAGAGAGAAATAAAAATCTATCAACCACCCTGTGTCTCCAACACGGGGTCACTAAAGCATTTTTTTTCCTCTACCTCATCCATATGATTTCCAGAAGTTTTTCCATCACTTTTTTCATTAGCCAAGTGCATGGTGAAACATTTTTAATCATCTCTTTTCTAATCACATGGATACCCCTTTCTGGTTAGCATCCCACTCCTCTGGTCACCAATCACAGCTACACCTCTGACACACTGCCTACTGCAAGAGCTATAAAAGGACTACCAAAACCCCTCCCACAAGACACATTCATTTTTCACTCTTATCTAACTTCATACTAACCCTTCTATGGTTTACTCCAGGAAGGTATTTATTTCTCATAATCCCTACAAAACGTTCCCACAGAACATATTACCATTAGTGTACTACAAACTGACAATTTTTCTTGAAAAATTAAAAATAATGAGATAATTACAGAAAACTAGTGCTGTTTTTTTCCAAATAAATGTGTCACATAAGTTGAAGTTCATATGTGAATGCCACCACCATGAATGTCACTTGATTTTACACTTTCTTTTATTATTTTTTTCTTTGAAGAGAAAAATGTATCAGTACCACATGCTACCATATACTATCAAAAAATGTGTGCCTAATTACTGTTTACGCGAATGAGCAAAACTAGTTGGTCACAAGCACTTTAAATGCCAGTCACTGTGTGAAGTGAAACGCCTACAGAGCTAAACAATTTATTGGACCACCCTGCTCTTTATCAAGTATTTTAAAAACAGCTTTCCAGTGAATCACTTACCACTCATCCTTTCCATATGTAGGATAACTAAAAGAGATAGTGCATGTGTAAAATAGGATGTCATAGGGTGGGCATGTAACAAAGACACTCATGACAACAGAGTCTATGACTACAAATGTGGCTAATGCTAGATACTAGGAACAAAACTGTCATGACTGTTCCTCAGTACATGTACAAAAAAAAAAATCTAGAGGATATCCAGTGCACTGCCGAAATCAAAATGGTGTAACTTTCTTTATCATGCAATTCTTGACAAATCTGAAAGCTTAAAAAAAAAAAAACTCTACTTACCAGAGTTAATGATACACGTCTGAAATGCTTTACACCTCTTATCAAAGCCTTACAGAACACACACATACTACTGTAAAAGTTTGTGTTCATGCACAAAATTTGTTTGTGGAAACTGATATACAAAATTTTATTCTGAATAAAAGTATCAACTTTGAACATATTGTGGCATATTTGCCCAAAGCAAGAATTGTGGAGACACAACCGCTGGCCCTTATTAGGCAGTGGCCCGTAAACAACAGGGGAATGGCATTTTCTGAGCAGTCCGTGTCAATGGCTGCACATGCAACAATGGAATACATCATGCCATTGCTAAGCAACAACTGCACTGCAACATGTATGCAGTACAGGCTGAGATGTTATAAGCAGGATTAGTTAGATGCTGCAGTTCAGTCACTGTGAGCTGTTGCTATTAGAAGCTGGCAGCTGAGGCTGGGGAGCATTTACAAACCCAGAGGAAGGGGAAGACCCACCGCTAGAAGTCACTACCAAGCAACAGTAGTGAAGATTTGAGTGTGAACACTTAAGTGTGTGTGTGCATGTGTGTGTAACAGTAAACTGTAAAGTGTTGTCACTCTCTATATATAAAAGAGTACAATAAACTGAGTCATCAATCCAAACCCCATCTATATTCACACTCCTATCATGGCAACAACTGGTGTCAGAAGTGGAAACAGACTGATCGAACTATTGCATTGCAGACTGCAGTAGATAACCGTATTGCCACACTATGGAGATGGAACAAACGATGGCATGCCTGGTGGCAAAAATAAGAACCAACTAAGCCAAGAAGGGTGCCAATCAAAAGGAAATGAAAACCAACCGAGAAAGGATGGAAGCCAAGGCAGTCGCCAATAAACAAGAAGGTTGAGATCCTTCTAGAAAAAATGTGGACCAGTCAAGAAGAGATGGCCATACTGGAGGCCTCTCTAGAAGAGATGGATGCAAATCCAGGAGAACTCAAATCCATTTTGAAGATACAGGAAGAGGCAGTGATGATCGGAGCAACTGAGGACTTAATGATGGAAAGGGCTGTTGTTCCTGCATGGCGTAGGGGCTGCAGTCATAAAGGACCGATGATTGAGACGACAGAAGGGACCAGAATGCAACAATGGAAAAAGGGCTGAGGATCAAGTTGGCAACTACGTCTGCAGAAGGAGAGATCTAGTAGGATCTTCAGGAAGACCGTAGAGCTGGATATTGAAAAGCCAATAGTTGGATCTACATTTGGGCTATGGGAAGTGAACAGCTGGACACTGCAGAGGGGTCAGCCCCTTCGAAACAAAAGAAGCAACATCAAAACCACAGCCCCTGGATGGTGGCACACCCAGATTGCCTGGCACCTTATCAGGGAACTGCTTGGGATGAAAGGCTCTGATGAGGGTACAGAGGTAGCAGCTGGGGAGTAAACATCATGAGAACCGAATGTGGAAGGAATGTGAGGCCAATAAAATGTCACAGGTATGTCCCCTCAGAAAAGAAGAAATAACAGTAAGTTACTCAAGACAAGCAGCCTTAAGGAGGGAGCAATGTGGCATATTTGCTCAAAGCAAGAACTGTGGAATCACAACAGCCAACTGTTACTGGGCAGCGGCCTGTATACAACAGATGAATAGTATTTTCTGCACAGTCCATGCCCATGGCTGCAACGCAACAATGGAATACATCATGCCACTGCTTAGCAACAACTGTACCACAACCGAGGAAGAGCGTTTTCTACATGGTCCATCCTGAGATTTTGTAAGCAGGGCCACTTAGCTGCTGCAGAGAGTCAGAGGACTGCTGCGGTTCAGTCACTGTGAGCTGTTGCTGTTAGAAGCTGGTAGCTGGGGCTGGGGACCATTCAAAAACCCAGAGTAAGGGAAATGTCTACAATTGGAAGCTTCTACCAAGCACTGGCAGCAAAGGCATGACTGTGGACACTAAGTATCGTGTAACAGTGAACTGTCAAGTGTAGTCACATGCTGTATGTAAAAGAGAACAATATACTTTGTCATTAATTCAAAACCCATCTACAGTCACACTATCACGTGACAATATTTAAAATAAAATTCTATTACGTAACAGTGCATTCAGTTCTAAGCATGACACTTTGCAAGAACGTGTAGCAGTTCTACATATTTCTTCTGTAACAGCACCACTGCTGTGCACTAGATTGGGGAATAATTAGAGTTTATCAGTAACATGCAACAGGCAAAGACAGTGGGACATAGTCACAACCTTGCTCACAGGAAATGACTTATTCCCAATCTTGCTGTTTCACAGGAAGACTCCCCAATGCTTTTTCCTGGAATTTTGATTGTAAGAGAAATTTTGGCTAACTCTGAGAATAAGATATGTAACAGCTTCTGCACATAGTAAATTTAAAAGGGGTGTGGTGGAGACCCACGCTAAGCACAATATCCATCACCCAGCTGTCAAAAGCAACGTTAGAATTTTAAGGACCAAATTCCCATACTGCAGTTAGCTGACTGGAGATTATGAAACTGTAGTAAACTCCCAAATTTCAAATATACCCAATCAGTAGAATTTATGAGTGTGCCTTAGCAGGGGAACTGAAGGACAGAGGACCTCAGGGTTTTGAGAGACAACAGTCTCGGAGTTCAGTGGTCTACTAGCTCTTAAAAGGTTTTAGACGCAAACTTGCACCCTTGCGGTTCATATTTCGAAAGTCTAAATTAACACAAGTTCAGGTGGTCAAGGTAAACTATCATACATGACAGATAACGTAACCATGCTAAGGGGAGTGAAGTGTTTATAGCAAAGTGTATTACATGTGTGTTCGGACCAAGCCTATAAATCATATAAATAAATATTACTAGTATTTAAGTGTTAAGCGTGTAGCACCGAGTTCATCACTTCCTCCACCTAAGCTGAGGCCCTGCCAAGTGCCCTGAGGAAGAATCTCAACCACCATATCTAGTCCAACATAAACATTACCTCTTTCCTAACTTAAATCTTAATTATTGTAAGTAATCACAACATGAGCTTACTGGTGCCCAACTGAAGAAAGTAAGTTACATATGAGAAGCAAAGACAGAAAAGAAAATATTAGAAGTTCAGTTCTTCCTTCATAGACAACAAACTGTATCCAGCAAAGAGAACAATCAGTTAATGATGTTTAAGAAAATGACTGCTGTTTATTCAACAAATCACTATGCTTTAAAAAGTTATGTAAAGATACTGTTCAACCACCTATCCTGTGTTTTATCTTATGATGTAGCCAGACCTGCCCCACAAAGGTCAGTTACATAGAGAGTTGAGATTATCATGGCAGTAAAAATCAACACCCTCTGATGACACGTGTGTATGTCCATCCAAAATATTAGTACCTCTTTGCCAGACTACACACAGTGTTATAACAGTAAGATGGACAATATGGGACAGAGTCAGTCTGTGACATATAGTAATCATTAGAGTTCTAAAATTCGGGCATCTCTCGATTTAGAAAGGCAATTCATTCCATGAAAACTGTTCATAAGATGAAAATTCTAAATCAAAAATTAATTTTCCTTACTATATACACAAAAGTCACCAACTTGTTCAAGAGTCCCAGAAAAATCCCAACATTTTTAACATGTTGTTTTGCTAGTAAATAAGCATTAAATTAAAGACAATGTTATTTGTTTATATTTACTGTTGCAAATAAAACCATATTATTTTATTCACATTTATTTCCTCATAGCTGTTTAAATGCAACAATGCAGCTGAGTTATTGTATGAACACAGCCTCTTAGTGGACAGAAAACAAACATTATGTCATTTCCTTGACTGCTACTTTCTATATGAAGTCAGAAAGCACTGCTGAAGCAGACAAATTCATGGCTATTCATGCCTTTGGACCACAGTCTTCCTTCAATCCTTTTTAATATTTCCTTCTGTGAAGCCAAACTACAGGCTAGAAGCTGACATTAATGGCCATGGGGGTTTGTTGCACTGACTACGCAACACCCTCTATCCACAAAAGTTGGCACTAAATTTCGCCGACAAGCAGTGGTCGCTCGGTCACTATAGTTCACTTGTGGAGTTTGTTTTGTTTGAAGCCAAACTAACTGCTGTCTTTACTTTCTGTGGCTTATCAACACCTCTTACAACCATTTTAACTTGTATGGGAGCCATGATGGGCACAAATAACAGAGATATTGATGGATAAAATGTAAGCATCAAGAGCACAGCTGATTCAGTATGATCACGAGCTGCAAGCACAGACTGGGAAGGTGGGAGATTCATGTAGGTGGGGATATCCAATTCTCCCTACATTCCCACATGTTATTGTGTTATGTATTTTTCTGCCTTTGCGAAAAGAACTTACGAACATAAGCTGTCTGCTGTAACGAAAAAGAAGTTCATTGAGTGAAAAATAGATAAAAATTAACATGCTTTGTTGAAATGTGCTCATAAACCACGGATACCAGTATACTACTGTTAATTAAATGCTGACCCGTATGTTACTGGCTCCCAACCAGTAGACTGCACTATCCCTCCACATTTGCAAGCAGACCAAACTTTTAAACTATTGTTCTGTCATTTAATTTATATACCAAACTTTTAACTACTGTTTTGTCATGAAATTTCCCTTTTAATTTATAATACACTACCAAATGCTTCATAATGACCACAAACATCAAAGTAACCTAACCAGAGACGTGGTTTCGTGAGTGAACCAAAAGCATGTGTTTAAGATGAAACATATGAAAATAAACATGGATTAAGTTACAAAATAGATATAAAGCCCTTCACTTCCACTTCCAAGTCCACAAAAAGGCAAGCAAAGGTTCTGTAACCTGGGAAAATCTTCAGTTCTTTTGGCATGACAGTAAAATGGATTTACACACGTAACCAACTTCAGATCTAGGGTCATAAATAAGATCTATGACACAATTTAGACTGTGCTGCAGAGCTGTACACAATGCTCCCACATTCTAGCGTTGACTGTGTTAGGGCACAGTAATGTTGGAGCATCACATGGCAGACAGAACTTTTCAATGTTCAGTGACCATTTGCATTTACTGCACAGCCACCTCAAATGAGGTCTTCCCAAGAGATAGTGCTGTCAAGAAGGCAGCCTAGAAACTTGACAGCTGGAGATGTGGTGTTAAAGGAAATCATGAAGGGGACACACAAAAACCCAGCAATCAAATGAACTGTACACACAGGGTCCTTGCTGTGGAGAAGGAAAATCCATTTTGCAGAACCAATCAACAGCTGCCATTTTACAGTAACCAAGTTCTGGGAACTACAACAAGTAGCAACATCATCAGTATACAATGATATTGAGACAGATGGACAAACTGCATTAACCATTCCACCAATGGTGACTATAAATAGAACTACACATCTAACATTCTTGTGGCACTTCACTGCCTTGAAGATGACACACAGAATAGCCAAGACAAGCACAGAAATAATAATCTGGGGGGGGGGGGGGGGGACTTCTCAATAATTGAAATAATCTGGGGGGGGGGGGAGGGGGAATTCTCCTAAACTTATACATGAGGTCTGATCAAAATGTATTGACAGTGAATCTCTGAAACTTAAATGCACTGTAACTACCGGAATGGAAAGCTTGTTCTCTTCAGAACTGGTTCCTTCAGCATGTAACACACTTGTTCAACCATTCCTAAATAGTGCTCGACAAACCTCTCCAATTCAGTTTATAGAATCACCAACAGCTGCTCCACCACACTGAATTCAATCACTTTCATGTCACAAAATCTAGCGCCTTTCAATGTTCTTTAAGTATATGGAATAGAAAGAGTCATGCATTTGTTAAAGTCTCATGGTTGTGGAGCATACTCATCACATCACCCAACATCCTCAAAACTGAAGCCAATCAGTCTTACTTTTGTCTTGCTGCAAAGATGGCATGCCTTTATTAGTAGAAGAGAGGATGGGATTCCCGAGACCTACGTTTTATCACCTGTTAAAGACATCTTATACCTGACTATTCACAGAACATGGGACATGAATTTAAATTTCTGAATTCTGCAAAGTCATTTGTTTCTGCATGCATATCTGTTAAGATTGCTATGTTTTAATATTTCTCTAATATATACTGCATTACAATAAAGAGTATTTTTAAGATTTATGAAGAGTGGCACACACGAATCCAAAACTGTGCAGTTTACAATTTTAAAATTCAAGGAATGTTCTGTCTACAGATATTATGACAATTTTTAAGAAATTAATTCATTCCATAACAGAAAATCCATCTCATCTCTACACTCAACAAATCAGCAACATACTTTCTTCCAAGACACACGTCTTAATGTTACTGCAGACTGTTTTTACTGTGAAAATCATTCATGCTCTCATTTCTGTTGGATGGTGTAATGTAAACTGGAGGTCATCAACTAATATCTGATCCACTGTTTTGAATTCTTATCCAGTAATACCACAAAACACAGCAACTGACTGAGAGACCCTACACTTCATACGAAAATATCATGAATGCATTTTCGAGCAATACATACTAAAACAAGGTAAACAATGACATCAAATCAGTTTTTACAATTGTAGCATTATCTTGAATCTTGAATGAGTCAGCCATCAAGTTTTTCTCAATACTCTTTATGGACAAGTCCCTCCCTCAATTAAGCCATGAATTATGCAATGTTCAGGATAGTAAATAGAAGAATTTTCTTGTTCATGTCTCTGTCTTCATTCAATTAAGCATAACTACTATCTTCGGCATGTATCAATCTCAAATTCACAAGTTCGGGTTCAACAGGTGCAGTACCTTACATATAAAGAAGATGAATATTGTGTGCACCAAAACAAAACTGAAGGATTTTTCAGTAATATTATATAATTACAACATTAAGAGCCTGTTCAGTTAAAGCACAGTTTGCTGCTGTTCTGTATTAAACACTCCTGCTGCTTAAAGCCCCACTACCAAAGGGCAGTGTTCTGTTGTGCATTTTTTGTGGGCAAAAGGATTCAATGCAAAGGATATTCACAAAGAAACGTTTTCTATTTACAGCAGGAAGTGATTGTTGTGTAAAGCAGTTCACAAGTGGGTCAAGAAACATGGCAATTGTCTCACTGATGATGAAGAGGTTGAAACACACATGCAGAAGTGGCTGAGACAACAGTCAAAAGACTTCTATGCTGCGGGTTTTAACACACTGGTAAAAGCGATGGGACAAGCTTATCAATGTTGGTGGAGGACATGTCAAGAAACAGATGAATTTTAAAGGTTCAAATATCATGTTTTACATTTCATATCCATTTGTAACCTATTTACTGACTCCCTCACAAAGATTATGCCACACCAATGACATAATGCATACTTTTCTATATATGGGATAGTGAACGAATTATATGCAAGCACATACACATATTCAAATGATTCTTATAGTATGAACTCAAGTAAATATAATTCAGTAGTCACAATAATAGAACTGAAGACAAAAATGTGTATTATGTAATCCTGAAAACACTTACCCTACTGTAGGAGGTGCCCCTGTAACCCTGACTAGTGGAGGGGGTTGTGCTACTGCCATGTGGCTATGTTGTGATGGTGCTAAGGGCATAGGCAAGGACACCTGGAACAAAATACAAAACTCTCTAAAAAATGTCGCAATATACCATTCCACCCCCTCTCTTAAATACATGCACTGTATCTCGCAGGAGGGTGTGAGGAGAAGAAAGGCAAATTTATATATGAAAAAATATTTATTATACAGAAGTGATCTCACAATTCAGTAACGCAAAACTCAAAGTCTTTTTTGTCACCTACTAAATCTCAATGTGAGCACCATAAGTTTCTGGACACGTGTCAAAATGTGAACACATGTTCACAAGCATAATTTCAGTTACTGCTGCAAATGTCAATTATGTGATGCCACAGATGTCAAGGATGTGCAGTTTTCTCCTAAGTGACAATAGAGGAATGGGTCCAATAGTGTTGGGTACAATGATCTTGGGACCATGCCAGAAAACCGCCTCCTCCAATCCACTTGTTCAGAAAGTGGAAACATTTCCAAAGCGTGGGGCCGCTCATCCTGCTGGAGCCGTGAATCACAAAGATTGCAACACTGTATTGCTCTAACATGTTCAGGTATGAATGGCTTGTTGTGGTTGCTTCCTGAAAGAAAAAAGCTCCATGCGACACCACGTTATCATTTGGTGTGTCTCTCTGATGCTTCGTAACTTCTTCTGGTAACTACCCCAAATTCTGCAGTTGTCTGTTCAAAGTACCATTCAAATGAAATGCTCTCTCCTCAGAAAAACACCAAGTCCAGGAAAATCTCAACCACCATAATTTTTTCTGCAGCACTTCCTCATGGTCTCCTGCTACAAGTTTGATGTGCTGCCTGCTGTAGCCGCAATCTGTATGCATGTTAATATCTGTCTATATCATGAACGTCTTGTGGAGAGCCGAAGATGAAGTTGCCTGCCTGCCTGATGGGCTACAGAGGAAATGCTTGTCTAACACACTCATCTTCACTGGATGTCCTTGGACATCCTAGCAATTTCTGATTTACAGCACTTCAGTTTCTCTTCGACAACTACCCTATTTATCAACGGAGCTGTAGCTTGGTGCTGAACCTGCATGCACTAACTGCAACTTACGCTGAACATGTGTAATGAACACGTTAAAAATAATATGGAATAGCATTTCAACATGTTCCGAGCAACTCGTGGTGCTCGCATGGAAACTTACTATGTCCCCCACCCCTTGCCAAAAAAAAATTCTTTGACTCTTGTGCTACTGAATTGTGAGATCACCTCTTCTGTATAATATGGGCAAATATTTTTCTGCATATCACTTTTTTCACACCTTTCTCAGGCTCCCCTTGCATGTGTGTGTGTGTGTGTGTGTATACACACACACACGGGGAAACACAGTGGAACTTCTACTTCATACAAGAACAAAATGGGTAATTAAAATAACAAACTCCAAAAACATATCCTCATAATGACAATGAATTCTCAAATGCAGTTGATTGATACAAATACATGTGAGTACATAGTACTGCCACTTAAGTTCTACAGTCAGCATAAGTACGTGATACATTGAAATCTTTGGTGATCGGAAGTGGGCACAGTTCAAATAGTTGAGAATGACAGTCACAAATCAGTATTTGATTCATTAGGAAATGCTTACTTCCATTCCGTTCAGAATCTTTTTGTCTTCTCATCTGTCTAAAAACGTAAAAATTAAAATACACAAAACTATAATCTGCCTGTAGTTTTGTATGGGTGTGAGAATTGGTCTCTGACATTAAGAACATTGGCTGAAGGTATCTGAGAACAGAATTTTGAGAATACTTGGGCTAAAGATGGATGGAGGAGAAGGCTGAAGAAAACTGTATATGGGGAGCTGCATAACATGTACTCTTTGCCAAATATAATTTGAATAATCAAGTCAAGAATAAAATGGGCAAGGCATATAGCATGCATGACACAAAGGAAAATGCATATAGATTTTTGCTGGGAAATTTAGAAGAGACCACTAGGAAGTCCTAGACATAGGTGAGAGGATAATATTAAAATGGATCCTAGAGAAAGTGGATTGGGTGGTATGGACTGGAATGATCTGGCTTAGGATAGGGACCACTGGCAAGCTCTTGTGAATGTGCTAATGAATCTCTGGTTTCCATAAAATGTTGGGAAATCCTTGAGTAAGTGAGATACTGGTGGCTTCATAAGAAAGACTAACTCCATGGTGTTAAAGTCTGTTACTTAATTGGTTTCATTTAGTGCTGCCAAACATCACACATAGGCCTATTTCATATTCAAACTGAATAATTTTTTGGGGGGGGGGATACCCACACGTAAATAAAACTTTGGCATACATATATCACTGTGCAATGAACACAGCAAATTCTACTTCAAACGTGAAACCTTGAAACCTATTATTAAATTTTAACATTTTGTGTATAGGTGCTGATCATTAGATTGACTCATTCATGCTTTCAAATATTCACCAATTACCTCTCTTTATTTGAATTTCCAAAAGCCAAGACACATATCGTCACTACTGAAGAAACCGGAAAGTGTATCAAAATAATGCATGTTCAGTGAAGAGAAACTATGCTAGGCTTGAACATATACCTCAGAAATCCCTAGACGGTTCATAAATTGTCAAAAAATGTACCCATGACCAGGTTTGTATAAATATAGAAGTCAGCATAACAAACAGCATACTACAGTGAAAAACTTGTTTATCTTCATTAGCAAAAGGATAACTGAACCATCTAAATATAAATAAGAGCCACTTCCTTTCATATGCAGGGAATATCCAATGTGGCATTGCCTGCATATGGTGAAAGGACTGATGACAGGATGGACAAATAAAAGGGATAAAGGAGAAAGGTCTAGCGAGATAAGGGGGGTAGATGAATAAATGAACAGGGATCACAAAATTGTTTTAATGTTTTGGAAAAAGAGGGAATCCTTTACGGTATATACATGAGTGTACTATGACTGTTATACAGGGTGTTTCACGACTTTAGGGCATAATTGCAGGAGGTGATTTCCTAGGTCTTTGTGATCAAAAAAGTTCATATAAACATGTGTCCGAATTTGGACAGTTACAGAGTTATGACCGTTTTAAACTCAGAATAGAAGGTAACGATTACTGACAATAAACGGAACAAAATAATAAACAAGCATAATACATGATGCATTTAAAGTATGAATGTAAAGTTAACTTCGTGAAATTACCTTTAATTTGAATTTATTGGTGCTTAGAGCTGATTTGCGAAAATGCCACCGCCGGCCGCAACACAGGCTGCCGCTTGGCTGTGAACCGCGCCAGACATACCAACCCTCCCCACCTTAGGTACATCTCAAGTGTCAAGATAACGAGAATGCTCTGTCTGTAGCTGGCTAAAAATAGTGACTCGCCAGCTGACAGACGCGGTTCACACGAGGGTGTGTATGGGAATGAAAAAACGGTCTAACTCCGTAACCGTCCAAAACCGGACACATGTTTATATAAACTTTTTTGATCACAAAGACCTAGGAAATCACCTCCTGCAGTTATGCCCCAAAGTCGTGAAACACCCTGTATATTACACCAATATGGATCCATATTAAGCATTCAATTAATTTCAGATGTATTTGTAGAACTACCTCATGATGGTCCTGTGAGGACCAAAACATGCAGTAACCACTGAAATAAACCATCTGTTGAGAGTTAACTTGAGTTATTTAATTAAATATTGTTCTGTCAACAGCAAAACCTTTTTCTGTTAATTATTATACACAACAGGATGCATATAATGAAGGTCTTCTATTCATTTCTTTACTGCCAAAGGCTAGCGTACTGCTTACAGTGGCTGGGATGGAAGGTAAGCCAGTAGCACAGATGCTACTGGGACTGAAAACATTACGAAAAAATATAGAATTTGAAATATGAGACTGCTACAGGGCTAATCTTCTAAAGGGGATGCACAACAGACATACAACCACATTGCAAGGGTTGCATAATGCCGACAACTTCAATTTAATCTAATCAAAAGCATGTTTCAATACAATTTGTCATAAAAACATACTATCAAAGGCACTACTGTGAATAAGACACAGGCACACCAGATGTCTTCACAAGATAAATCAATGATACGCACAAAGAAAGGAGAGCGCCATGCAGTTAACATGGTAAAATGTCAGACATTGTTTACAACCTGATGTAACTGTGTGCTAGTATTTCCCTTGTTCCTACAAAATATTCTGACTCTGTCGAAGTGGCTCACTGCTTACCAACCTGTGGATAATACTGGGGAGCAGGTCTTGGCCGAACCGGGTTGTAAGTTCTTGGAACACTGTTACTCGTGGGGCTTAGCTGAAAAGAGAACAGAAATATTATCATCTTAGAAAAGCTTCACATATCAAAACAAAATGTAATCATAACCTCACAGACTGAAACTCCATTTATGGTTTCTTTTGAGGGCAATAGATGTGAATGTAAAACTGAGGAAAATGTTAAACAGAGATGATACTTTGACATTGATAATACTGAGTACACTGAAATATAGTATATGCCTAATGGGGGAAAACCTTAAAGCAGGACATTAAATGGGGTCCCAACATATTAAAAGAAAAATAACAACAAAACAATGATAAATTGGGAGATAATTACTGGTCACTTGAAAATAATGCAGTAAAGAACGGGGAAGGAAACCTACGAATAAGACTACGTTGTCATGTGTGGCTGTCAGTTATTTCCCTAACTTTCCCTTATAACTAAGGATTTAATTCATGACATTTGTGTACATCTACAATGTGCTAACTACATACGATACAGCTGAATAAGTAGCCAGCATATTTGCAACACTGTTGTTTCCTCTTATTCTGAGAATGTAAAAGGAAAGTGTAGAGGAACATATCTCCCAATGCAGAAGCTGCACGAATGAGAAAGGGGGCGCGACTACTTCAGTATGTTTTGCTGGGATTTCTTCAAAGACGCGGGATATGCTTAAGGGCAGCCTGTAATCACTCTAAGCATTTTCTGTAAAATTGTGTGTCTTTGTCTCACTTTACATTTCTGTTTCTTGCGCTACTTCAACAAGTTTCAAGCCACAGACTGAGGGTGTGTATTTTTGAAGTGGTTCCAAACAGAACTTCATATGTCCTCTTCTGGATCTGACTGACTAGAGCTAGATCAAGATATGAGGCGTAAGGCCAAATAAGTAACCGGCATACCTTCAGCATTACGAAGTTTCCTCCTAATCTCAGCACTTTGTACTAAAGTTATTTAGTATGTTCTGCCTCCAAGACCCCACAGCCATTTATATACAGTCACACATAATGACATTTATAATGTAAATACACAGAAATACTTTTGAAATCTCTTTTGCTGTTACTGTCCCATGACTAGTGTTATGGGCACGATTTTCTTTACACTTTAGTCCTATAATATAATTTGCCAACATCAATTCTTAAACTCTGTCAAATGCCAGATGTACCCTGATTTCAGAAATTTTTTAAACGTGACAAAGAGTATGTCTTAGAACAGGCATTTCCCTCATTTTTTCAGCTGATATATTAAATAACGAGAGGTGGCAATACCAAAAAGGCATATAAGGAAAGAAAAAAGATATTACTCACTACACATGTAAAATGAATAATAAGGTAATCAAACTGGTCTATTTTTATGGCAATGTGACTACATGAGCACTTTCATTTTATGAGTCAGTACAGTCACACTTCCCAAGTTAAATTTCACACACAGCATCAATTTATTAAATCAGTACACTTGTCACCATTTGCCTCTACTCAAATGCAACTCTGTTAAAACAGAAAACTTACACTATGCATTGAGATGGGTGGCTGTGACATTCGGATAACTTGTGCAGGCTGTGGAACCATTCCTGGCTGAAACGCTGGCTGCCCACCAACAAGACCTGCCCAACCATTACACACTGCCTGAACAGTTGCTGCACTCAAATTGACTGGAGACGAAACGGTGGCAGAGGAAAGGGTAGCTGTCCTTTGCTGTGTGGCAGGTTGGGAAAGGGTAGTCACTATTTTATTCCCAGCTGTCACTGGATGGTGAAGAGTGGCATTTGTGACGACGGAATGTTGCTGCTGCGTTGGTGGTAAACCAGGCTGCTTAGTCCACATTCCTGCACTTGTAACAGCTGTACTACCTTTATTGCTTGCAAGCAAAAGCTGTGAATCTACTACTTTGCTTGGCCAATAATCTTCAAACACAGTCCCCGGCGGAAAGTAACTTTTAATATCACTCAGACTTATAACTGAACATGTCTCACTGGCAAACAGTTCATTGCGAATTCCTTGCACTTTACAACAAAATTTTAGATATGCTAAGTCCCACCCTTCTAACCTCTCTGCTTTAAGTTTCAAGTTATCTGTTTCACCTTCAAAATAGAAAAGTGGAACATACTTGAATCCATCTCGCACAGTATATGGAACCACAGATTCACCATTGATGCGGATAAAACCACATTTGTCCTTGGGATTACTTGAGCTAAGGAGAAGTTTGTTGTAACAGACATCCAGAAAGTTATAAAACTCTCCTGCATCCTGCAAGCGCACAACTAAGTCTTTGGATGTAAACAACTCTCGCCCAAATTGACTTTCGCAGTGCCTCATATTCACCTCATTCAAAAGTCTTGCTTCTGGTTCCGTAATGTAATAACTACGGATACAGGTGCAGCTATAAATGTCTGAATGTAGATAACTCAGGTACTTATTAAGAAGTTTCATTTCCACCATCCGCACTGCACAATACTTTTCACCAGAGCGGAAAATAAAAGGAATATGACATTTACCAAGTGTTACCCAGCCAAACCTGCCTCTCACACTATCTTCATCAGAAGGTGACGTTCTGTCTGATTCCCCCCCTGTCCCAGATTTCTTATCCTTTTCACTACTTGGTTTAGTTTGACCATTTGATCCACGTGAAAGGTAGTTCAATATCCCGGGCTGTCCTGGTTGTACTATGTGTTGTTGGCCACCCTGTCCAACTGGACGGGTTGCCCCGGAAGCCATCTTCGCCTTATTTGCTTCCACCATTTTTGCTGCCAATTCTCTGATTTCTGCCTCATCTGGCCTCTCTTGTTTAATTGCCACGTTCTCAAGGCCTAGACAAAATAACCAGCCCATCAATATCAGAAAACATTTTATATACACAGTTAACAACATCCATTACAAGGATGTAAATGTTCCACCTCTCACACATGCAGTACACAAGCAAAATATTTTAACAAAGCTGTCTAAAAACCAAACCCCACATTATAACCTAATCTGCAGTTGTTTCACTTCAACCATATCTCCTTTGAACAAGAGCAGCATACTTCAACAAATCACGCTTCAGATCCTGCTTCATGTAACTCGCTAACTTGCTTCAAATCTCGGTTCTGATCCTGCTTAATAAAGCTCTGGGCTGGACATGTTTTTATTTGACAGATACTATAATTCTATGACATAAGCATCTGTGATATAATGAGGTCAAGGTTTTCTGTTGTTGTACGGGCAACACATATGAACATCTAATATATCCCTAACCGCTAGATTTTCATAAGCGTACATAAACCTATTTTATTGACATTCCGCTATTCAGGGTGTATATATAAATATGCGAACACAAATTTTCGCGGTGATAGGCCTATGTGATCAACGAACCTTGGTGTGGATAAACTTCACGTATTAACGCTTTATTGATTTCTTATGGATTAAAATAAATATCAATAACATTACAGTTCGTTTCCTGTTTACAATATTCGTAATATTTCCTAACTTAACTAATCCTACCTGGTAATGTTGTTGGCTTGGCACTGGTTGGTAAGGCGGCAACCGAGGGTAACGCCATTATACTTTCACGTTGCTTCAGCCATGTAACAATTGAAATGAGATGAGCGACTGTAAAATTATAAACAGTAATAGCATAAAACAGCTACCGCTTCTCTCTTACGGTACATTCAGCATAACTCTTACACGATAACACAACACTTAGTAAAGTTATCATACGTATTGCTATGTCCACTTTTTTCTATTCATGTATAGAACGTCACACATTTCTTCCCTTCGTTTTGAAAGCCAAGGGAAAATGCCTCACCTAGCCTCGCATACAGGGCACCCATTTTCTGAATACCCGTTTTTCTTCACTTGTGAGTCATTCTCGTCAAATGGCGGTCGTAGCTAGACACTAGCCAATCACAGCGTGCCATGTGGCTACAACAAAAAGACTACGCCATCGTTGTGATGACGTCACAAGATATTTTTGTGTACCTCGCAGTGAGGCTAGAACATACGTTTCCAAGGTCTTTCCTGAACGCATGCATATATATATATATATTGACACGATATTTCCAAATGTGACTCCTGAAGTCAAATGCTTGGGCCCTATTTACTTGTCCTGAGACAAAACGAAAGGATATTTTCAAATTTTTCCAAAATATTTATTCTCTGTTATGGCATTAAATATTAATGTTCAATGAAACGATAATTATAAAAATCAATACACTAACCTAACCTCTTATCCTATTGATTATCGGTGCTGTTTACAAAATCATAAATGTAAGCGTTATTGTAATTTTATTTTAAAAGGCCAGCCCTAAAATATGTTGGATATGACAATTAATGACCCTACGAAGAATGCATTACCATACGATCTTGCTTGTAATCTCTTAAGTTGGCCCGGAATACAAAATGGCTGCCCCCATTGTTGACGAAATTGGTCATTTTTTCAGAAACGTACGAGTAGCATTATCATCCTCACTACGCGATCATAATGGAATACTAGAAAGTTATATCATGACGATATCCGAAAATACGAGAACAGTTTTCAGATCCTGTTTACTCTTCCTTCGTTGTTAATGAAAGATGTACTTCCGGCCCAACTAATTCTTCCCACTGTACACACTCCTCCCTTACTTTAATGCAGTATGTCGGAAACCCGTCTCTGTCCTCGTTTTGACATCTAATTCCGCAACTGTAGAACTACTTAAATTGTTTTTGCCATACATCCCCGTTTGTAATTAAGTGATACACCCTAAAGCCCCGTAGGAAGTATGACACAAGGGTCTACCTTGGTTTCAAAACGTACTATCCACCCCAGCCAACAATTGTAACAGTATATTGTTGAATGCTGATTTTTACATGGATAAGCTATACATTCAAGGCTCATGCGCACAAACAGTATTTAGAACGACCCAACCGTATCTTGTAGCGTCAACAGCCACGAAGGATTTAGTACAAAAACTGCACACTTCCATACTGTTTGGGAAGGTTGCCAAGATACTGAAAAATCGACCGTGTGTGCATTTCCATAAGGGCGAAAATGAATGCACAGAAACGACATTTTAGACCTTAAAGAAGCTCTTCAAAGTTTGTATGTATATAACGGACTATACGAAACACAAATCACAAAGAGGGGGTTCGAAGTACACTTTTTAACAAATTTAGACTAGTCTTTCATTGCAATAACACAAAATTAAATTTAAATGAACTTACGATGCAATGGCCAACGAAAGTCTCCATTTACAGCGAAGAACCTAGTTTAAACGAATATGATCGAGTACATTTGCCTGGAAATGTGACCTTGGAATTCTTTCGCGCAAAGGAAATGTTACACGTTTCGAAACTTTTGCGCAACAGGAATGGTTGGGCATTGCATTTTTATTGCACTAGTAGTACTCAGTACCTTGAACTTAATTGACCGACAAGAATGCAGCCTCATAAATACATGCTTGACACGTGAGTGTACATACTGACCGAAAGTCATATGAAGATACAGCATCGTTACAACAAAACAAAAACTTCAACTTCCTCACTCCGTAACAAAGTGCCGGATCAAAGGTGAAGCCGCACCTAATGACCGTGGAGCGTGTGATATGTGCTGTCTGGTCAGGACTGTGGCATACCTCACCTGTGACAGATCAGTATGGACAAATGGTGGGATAACGATTAACAGGGGAAAACCGAAGAAACTGCGTGGAAGATCTGTTCCAGCGCCACTTTGTCCAGCACAAATTTCACACGAGCGACTCCGCAGTGAGAAGCAAGCATCTACCTACTTTTCATTTCACGTCTCAGTCTTAAAGCCATCATAACAACGATTTTAAATACAGAAATTACCACAGGAGCGTACAAATCCAAACGAATGTCAGTAAGATTCAGTGGTTTACTTTTTCAGTTAGGCATCCTTAAATATTAATTAATTATAAGTCAAATATATAAGAAAGGAAGTTACAGCACTACGCTATGTAATGTATCTAACAACGCAAATGCGAAACTTGCAGAACACCAATTAAAATTTGAAGGAACTTGAGGAGAAAGGCAGTCCTGCATCAGTTAAAAATCATCCGTATAATGTGTATGGACGAAAAAAACCTAATAAAAAATATTAAGTAAAAAGTAAAAGTATCCCTGTAATTGGCCGTGGAGGCCCATAGGGTTGTGAGATGTTGAGGTTCCCACATTTTCTAGTCAATGTGGTCATAGATGGCGGTAAGGTTGTGAGCCCTACATGCTGGCCCCCAGGAATATTCCTGGTACTCATTTCTGTTAGAGGCTGAGTCGACCCCAGGGCCATAGTGCGGCTGCAAGGATAAGGTCAATTAAAAAAATTTACCTCATCGCTCCGTAGGCAGCTGTTTCCACAGGCGCACGCAGCCTGAAAAACCCAGCTGAACGGCCCTAAAGACTTGGTCTACTATAAAGGTGCAAATTCTACCAGCGCATTCACAGTGGAACAAACTGCCCTTTTAAGGACCAGCCAACTTTTGACATTCCAAATAGCTTTGCAGCTCTTCTGTACATTCAATTTATACAATTTAATATACCGTATTTACGCATGTATAGGCCGCAGCACAATTTTCAGACAAATTATAGAAAAAATAATTTTCTTGGAATATTATTTCAGGAGTATTACACCCTGTATTACTAATTATGAATATATATTTTTTTTTAAATGAAGTGTGATTTCGAATATTTCGAATATAAGCCGCACCCCAGTTTTCCTCTTGAATTTTTGGCAAAAAATGTGCGGCCTATACGTGCGTAAATACGGTATACAATTGAAGAAAGTAGTCTTCTGGGATTTGGCACCGTGTATATGTGGTGTTAACCGACGTTTCGGAGGAACGTATCGCCTCCATCTTCAGGGTAGAAGAAAAGGTATAAGAAATCTGCAAGCGACAAGACCGTGAGAACGGTAAAAGCTTTACCGTTCTCACGGTCTTGTCGCTTGCAGATTTCTTATACCTTTTCTTCTACCCTGAAGATGGAGGCGATACGTTCCTCCGAAACGTCGGTTAACACCACATATACACGGTGCCAAATCCCAGAAGACTACTTTCTTCATAGTCACCGCCGTGAAAGCCTCAAATCTTACACGGTATACAATTGTTACAGTTTTACGTGGTTGTCTTTTACAGCATCGACAATCCCACAAGTGTTTTGCATCGTTCATTACAACTACATACTTAGCTCTTCCTTTCAGTCGGGACACATACCAGCTAACTTATCAGAAAAGTCGCACATTCGACGGTGCACTGAGGCTGGAACCGAGCAAGGAAAGCATGCGAGATTTGAGGTTATGACTGGTATCTTATGGGATATAGCGCCGTCTGCTGAAAGTCAGCCGAGGTTGGGGAGAAACATGTCACTTCCATCTTCATGGGCGAAGAATAAGCCAAGAAATCAACATGAAGCAGGTAGGAAGTAGAACATGTTTCTCCGAAATGTCGGTTGATTTTTGACGGCCTACATGGCATTCCCCCTCGTTGGTGTCACACCTTATCGTGGTGAGGGGGTTTGAGTATGCCAAGGACCCTGACAGCTAAACCAGCGGTAGCGCAGCTACTGTCAGGGCCTCCCTTGCTGGACAGATCAAAGGGTAGGCATCAGACGAAGAGAGACACCAAAAACCAAAAACTGATGCCGGAAGCAGCGTCATCAGCAGCGACTTGAAGCACAGAGCAAATGATGCTCGAGATGGTTCAAGTTCGTATAGCAACAGGCGTGACCAGAGTGGTTTGAACGGCTGTTGTACTGCGATGTGGAAAGCAAATGGAAAAACTACCACATTATCACTTTTCCTGGATAGTCTCTTTCCAAAAACAGAAGATCGCATTAAGTGGAGAAACTGTTTTGGAAGAGACTGTGGACCTGTCGTCCGACAGATTACTGATGATGATGATGACATGGCATTATATCTCAGAAGACAATGTTTCAAGGTAAGACTTTGTGGTTGAGTGCATGTCACCCCTGTACCATTTCGCTTAGTGAGGGGTGGAGTCCAACTTCGTCCACTCGGCACGGCGGCCACTGATTGGCCTATTGTAGCCTGCCCCGGGCGATTATGATGATGGAGAATTTGGTGGCATGAAGATTGGCAGGGGAAACCGAAGTACTCGGAGGAAACCCGCCCCAGCGCCACTTTGTCCACCACAAATCCCACTTGACCAGACCCGGGATCGAACCCGGGCCGCCGCGGTGGGAAGCCCCTATACCTTACTTGGGATGGTTTGGGTTCGCATCCCGGCTATCCATGAATGAGGTTTTTGTTCATTACTAGTATTCTCTTCAGGCTACTGGAATAGCACCTTACAGTAGCGCACGCCAGCATTCAGTCATTCAATGCTGTCTTATTTAGTTGCGGGGCCAACTGGTAGCGTAGTTGGTTGAGGGGCTATGCTACAAGCCGGAAGGTCGCGGGTTCAAGTCCCGATGAGGTCATTGGATTCTTTTCAGTTGACCTAATCCTTCCAGCCGCACTAGGCCCTGGGGTTTACTCAGCCTCTAACAGAAATGAGTACCAGGAATTAATTAAATAATTTTCCTGGGAAGTAAAGCGCGGCCGGCGCGTAAGGCTGACAACCTTACCGCCATCTATGAGCCGATTGTTTAGATAATGTGGGACCCTCAACGTCTCACAACCCTATGGGCCTTCACGGCCTGGTACTGGGATAGCTTTACTTTACTTATTTAGTTGCACTACTGTCGTTCAGTAATTCGACAGTCAGTCTTCACAAAGAGTGCATGTGCCATGTATTGGTAATTTTAACAGTGCTAGAGAATCTATTGTCACGTGTAGGTGGGGTACACGTGACGAAATGACGGGTTCTAGTTCTGATTTATTAACAGATTGGTTACACGCACTCCTTCAATTACACT